AAATGATTCAATCTTTTTTTGTCTTCGGCGCAGCCTAATATTTGGTTCATACATGGATGTTCTTATCTTTGTCGGCCCGTTTTGTATATCGGCGATTATAGGCTATTATAGAAAAAACACCTTTCTAACAGTGGTCTACGTAAGGAATTTAAGGAGACAGAGTATTTATAAAATTTTTATTTTTACTGGTGGCATAAGAGAATCCACTACCTCATATCATCCCGCGGTTTTTTTTAAAGGAATGGTACAGGAAAACTGAAACAGGAGTCGGGTAGCAGCATCTTACTGAAAACACCTGAAATCTACAGGATAGGCATATGTTCAAAAGTGGATTATAATGAAGCTTTTATGTTAATATAAATAACATAATTATCATCAATTACATAGATTTTTTTGTTTATACTTTCGTGTGTAATATTCAGATAAGCGAAAGTAAGTAGAGTCAAAGGTAGGAGACATCTCAACTGTACTACGATCGCTGATCCGCCAGTCAAGCGTGGAGATTTTGGCTAATCCTGCCTACAATGGTAGAAAACCCGATCCCAGCTGGGACTATTAAGATAAATAAGAAGAAATAGTCATATTTAAAGGTTTTGTGTATAATCAAATCATATTCATATGCAAATTATTTATTTAAGGCCCCTAAATGTTAGTTTCGTTTATTTTCATTCCTAGCACGATGTAGCATGCTCGGTAATTGACATCTTTGACTTACGACAAAACAAATTGTAAAAAAAAGCCCACTGGGCCGAATTATTTTTAATTTATTTATATATATTATATTATATAATAGTTACACTGTCGTATAATATTAAATATAGTTTAGAGAACTTATGACTCTGCAACCCCGGTCATGTCTTTTTTAAAGATTAATAAATGCGGTGTCATATTTCACCATAAACTGAATTTAATTTCCACAAATTTTAGTATAAATTTATCAATTTATAGATAAAAAATTCGGCAAATAATATAATAATAATTTTAGAATTAAATGTTAGTTATGATTAATAAGTATTTAATCCATTTGTGAATTACTTTTAATGTCTTAAGAATTGTTAATTCGTTACTACTTCCGGTTTCCGGTAATGTATATTATGTTATGTATATTGCAATAAATGTATTAAAATGGTCTAAAAAACAATTATTTGGATTTTAAAAACATATTTCATATTTTTGAATGTCTTTAAGTAAGATTTTAGTTGCTTTATCTTATTACTTGTATGCGTTAAACCTATAACACTTGTTTTCTGAAATATATTTATACCGCAAATTTAATGTAAAAAATTGTAAAAATTGTTTTTATAATGATTTTTATGATTTTATTTAGTTAATTATGTTTATAATTTGATTTCAGATACTTAGATGTGTTAAGAGTTGTTCAATTGTAAAAAATAAAAGCGACATTGGAGGTAATCTTATAAATACTCCGAATTCAAAGAAATTAGTTTGAGTTCTTGGTTATTCTTCATGTTAGCAAGTTAAGTATATTTTCATTATGTCTTGCTTATTTTTGCTTATTGTGTCTTTTGGTTAAAATATGTGTGAAGATATTTTCTATAAATGTATTACGGTGCAACAAAGTATAAGCGACGTATCGGCGATTAACTTAAACAATTATTATTGAGTTAAAAATCAATAGACGTTATTCAACTCCTAAAATAACGTTATAACCTGATTTTTTTAATATGTGTCTTTATTTTTATAATTAGTTGATTATTGTTACAAGATAATTAATTTAAAATGCTTTAATTCAAAATATAATTAAATGCGAGTTGTCGCTATAACAATTTAAGGGTAATCATTATCAAAGCACAGGAAGTGGGGATCGCTTGCGCACATTCGCATTCGGTTTAAAAGGCGCGTGATTGCGGAGGCAAGGTTCCTCCGCGGGCCCCGTCTTTGCCCACGCAAACCCTAACATTTTAAATGAACTCCAAATAGTTCAGAACCTCTTCTGTCGTCGAGCTGCGAATGCACCGTGGTACGTCCGTAATGCCGACCTTCATCGGGACTTAGAGCTCCCAACAATTCAACAATTTTTTAAAAAACTCTCTGAGAACTTCTTCAAAGCCTCAGAGTCGCACCCAAACCATTTAATTCGTGAGGCAGCTTCTTATGCAGCCCCACCCCCCTCTCGCTATCGTGTCCGCAGGCCGAGAAACTCTCTCTGGGACCCGCCTAATAAACTTTCAAACGACCTGAACTGTCTCCTGGCGGCTCAGGCCAACTCTAATTAAATAAAATTATTGTAATATCTAGCATTAATTTGCCTTCGTAGGCACTCCCTCAGCGGCACTTAGCTGCCTGCGCCCTCTTTTCCCAAAAGAGGGTCGCTCATGATAAGGCACAATAGAGCTTAATCAGCCGGTTGCCTGTCCCCAAAGACGGTTTTTAGAGGGTATCACTTAGGGTCCCCGGTAGGACAGTGAGCCCCTCATAACCACGATAGACCGGCTATCGTGGTATGCGTAATGCATTTTCCGCCTCCCTACGTATAGGGTAGCCCTTTAATTGCTTCGGGCGCAAAAAAAAAAAAGGGGGCAAGGTTTATTCTTGCTCGAGCTGTTGTGCTATTCGGACTGTAAGTTGAATTTGTGAACTGTAAATTGTGAGCAATAGTGAATAATTATTAAATTGTTAATTGTGAACACAAGCGCGGATATTTTAAATTGTGAAAATAGTGAATAATTGTTAATTGTGAGTAATTATTAGTTGTGAATAGTAAAATCTGTCTAGAGTAAATAAGTTATTCCTATTATTAAAGAAAGCAATAATAACCATCAATGATGACGTCATAGTTTTAAAAAAAAAACTTCTTGTGTTAATATTCCGTCATATATTATTTTAAATTAGCTAAATTCCTTTCAAAGTTTGTCCCTTGTTACGAGAATGATTTTACAGCTCCTTTTTAGCTTAATAGGAAAATTTAAGTTTATTGCTGAACCAATACTTTCTCCTAGTTCTTTGTTTAATTTTCCATGAAAATAGCATCGGAAGTGGGATCGCCCGTGCTTTTTGTTAATAGTTTTCTTTTAAATATTACAGTGCAAACTACTTAAATATGGATGTGGAGTTTGTGAAAGGGCTGTGGGAAACCATCCAAAATGCAATGGTTTCAAATAAGCGGCGCAACGACGTAGCGGTGCCAATTTTTGATCCGAAAAAAAGCAACGACGGAACGGCTGTCTGGTGCGAAAGCTTCGATAAGTTGGGAGACGATTTAAAATAGAGCAACTTTGAGAAGATTGCAAAAGCCGGTAAGGCCCTTCGAGGCTCCGCATTATCCTGGTTTAAAACGTGGGAGCCTGAGACAGTAATCCTGAGAAGAATTCAAAAAAGGTATGTCTGTTTACCCGCAAATTAAAAATTTTATTGAGAAACTGTTAAACTCTGATACACACGTCGGATTCGACAGATTCTTTCGATGGTTACGCTAGGTAGAAATTAAAACTATTAGTCTAATAAAATATGTTTTACTGACGGGCAACAAATAGAGCTTGTTTGCGGTGGAATTAGTGATGTAAATTTATGGTGCTAAAAAGCGTCATAGTGAAATCTGTAGTCACCATACAAATGGTGTGCTACGCATTATTACTTAGCTGGCACCCACTAGAAAAAGTATCCCATGGATGCCAATCTACGCAATGGTACGTATTCGTAATATTGCGTAGTCCGGCACCAATCACAACCCTTTCATCATAATATGATGCCTGTCTTCGCAATATTACGTATTCGTAAAATTGCGTAGCTTGGCATCTTAGTTACTTATTTTCGTCCTGCTTACCTGCATTGCTAGGTGAAACCATCCCCGCTGTCTATGCACCTCAGATGACCAATAGATTATTGCGTCACTTTTGTATCGCGCCACCCACGCAGTAAGAGTGACATAGAATGAAATAGGTGATTTATTGAAATGCCACGCGGACGCAGTGAAACTCGTCGTATTCTACGCGATCGCCGCGGTCGTTCTGATGATCGCTCCTTAGGATCATCAGAACGACCGCCTTTAAATGAAAGCAAGCTTGCTAGAGTATTAGAAGAAGAAACTTCAGATGACTGGGATTTTTCATCAGGAACGGGTGAAAACTACGTTCCGTACGTAGTCTCACTCTACTTCCTCTCCCTGCCGTACGTGCTTAGTTTTTATTTATAAATTTTAATTTAATAGAATCATGCGTTACTTTGCGGAAATTGCTTACAATTAAGACATTAATACCTAACTCGCAACCATCCGTTTAAACACAATGATGTGTCTTACCTGGATTGAAGAGCAAGAGATTTTGAGAGTTGGGAGTAGTGGTGCCGGGAGTAGTGGTGCCGGGAGTAGTGGTATTAGGAGTAGTGGTGTTGAGAATAGTGGTAACTGGATTAGTGCACGCAATTGAGGGAGGGCGAGAGTTGCTCTTTAATCCAGGTGAGACACATCATAATGTTTAATTGAGCGGATGGTTGCGAATAGATATAAATGTCTTTATTATAATGAATTTCCCCAAAGTAAAGGCTGATTCTATCAAATAAATGTATTAAAATGGCCTGAAAATGTTTATTTGGATTTTAAAAAATATATTTCATATTTTTGAATGTGTTTAAGTAAGATTTTAGTTTGGATGCTTGGCGGTCCACCACAGTACGTTTCAAAAGTAGTTTTCTTCCGCGTGCAACCTCTCTGTGGAATAGTTTACCACCGGCGATAATTCCGGACCGATAAGACCTTGGGACCTACGCGAAAAGAGCTCTGTCTTGCTTATTTTTGCTTATTTTCTTTTGGTTAAAATATGTGTGAAGATATTTTCCGTAAATATAATAACTTAAATTAGCTAAATTCCTTTCATAATTTGTTCCTTGTTATGAGGAAGATTTTAACAGCTCTTTGCTTTATAGGACAATTTAAGTTTATTTTTCCTAGTTCTTTGTTTAATTTTCCATGAAAATAGAATTATAAGTGGGATCGCCCATGCTTTTTATTAATAGTTTTCTTTTAAATTACAGCATATTTCAATATGGATGTGGAGTTGGTGAAAGGGCTTTTGGAAACCATCCGAAATGCAATGGTTTCAAATAAGCACCACGACGACGAAGCGGTACCAATTATTGATCCGGACAAAAGCAACTACGAAGCAGCTGCCTGGTGCGAAAGCTTCGATAAGTTAGAAGAGTTTAAATGGAGCAGCTTTGAGAAGGTTGCAAAAGCCGGTAAGGCCCTTCGGGGCTCTGCATTATCCTATTTTTGAAACGATGGAGTCCGAGACAGTTAATTATGAGAAGAATTCAAAAAAGATATGTCTGTTTACCCGCAAAATAAAAATTTTAGTGAGTAACTGTTAAACGTTGTGTAATATACGTCGAATTCCGCAGATTCTTTCGATGGTTATACTAGGTAGAAATTGAGACTATTAAAATCTACTGAAATATGTTTTACTGAAGGCCAATAAATAGAGCTTGTTTGAAACTCGTCGAATTCTGCGCGGTCGCTATTCTTTGCGATCATCAGAACGACCGCCTTTAAAAGTCTGAATCAGAAGGTAGCGATATAACATCTCTATCTGAATAAGTAAGAAAAAGAAGTAAGTTGCCTGAACTAGGGGTGGGAGTTGATGTGAGGGAGAGGCAGGAGTTGTAGGGTCACCCCGTACTTTCCCTTCCTGCCGTATGTGCTTATTTTTATTTTATATTTTTTTTTTGATAGAATCGCGCGTCATTTTGCGGAAATTCCTTACAATAAAACATTAATATCTTATTCGCAACCATACGTTTAATTAAACACAATTATGTGTCTTACCTGGATTGAAAAGAAAGAGATTTCCTGGAACAGTGGTGTTGGGAGTAGTGGTGCCGGGAGTAGTGGTGTTGGGGGTAGTGGTACTGGGACTAGCGGTGACGGGATTAGTGCATGCAATTGAGGAAGGACGAGAGGTGCTCTTTAATCCAGGTTAAACACATCATTATGTTTAATGAAGCACTTGGTTGCGAATTAGATATTGCGAAGCAGTTGATCATGGGCGGCGGTAGTCACTTAACATCAGGTGAGCCGCATGCTCGTTGGCCCCGTCTTCTATAAATTAAAAAAATAAAAGAATAGTTGCTTTATCTTATTACTTGTATGCGTTAAATCGTTTTGGGCCACGTGTTTTCTGAAATATATTTATACTGCAGATTTAATGTTTAAAAACTGTGAAAATGGTTTTTATATTGTTTTTTTATGATTTTATTTAATATTCAATAATGTTTATAATTTGATTTAGATGTGCCGAGTGTTGTTCAGTTGTAAAAAAATAAAAGCTTCATTGAGGATAACCTAAGAAATACTCCGAATTCAAAAAAATTCGTTTGAGTACTTGGTTATTCTTCACATTAGCAAGTTAAGTATATTTCCACTATGTCTTGCTTATTTTTGCTTATTGTGTTTTGGTTAAAATATGTGTGAAGATATTTTCTGTAAATATATTAACTTAAATTAGCTAAATTCCTTTCATAATTTGTTCCTTGTTATGAGGAATATTTTAACAGCTCTTTGCTTTATAGGACAATTTAAGTTTATCTATTTCTAAACCAATATTTTTCCTAGTTCTTTGTTTAATTTTTAATGAAAATAGCATTATGAGTGGGATCGCCCGTGCTTTTTGTTAATAGTTTTCTTTTAAATTACAGCAAATTTATGTTGCAGAAGTGAATGGCCGAGTCGGAAAGGGACGTCCTAGGCGAAAATTTATCGACCAAATTGGCGATTTATTGAAAACGGGCCAAATTAGGAACACCCTTAACCGACGAGCATGTATGCGGAGGTGTACGGATGTGAAGGATGCGAGAGAGTTGTGTCAGGATCGTGCCAAATGGAAGTCTGTAGTCTCTGCCTACCCCTCTGGGTGACAGGCGTGAGTTTTTATATGTATGCATATTTCAATATGGATGTGGAGTTGGTGAAAGGGCTTTTGGAAACCAACCGAAATGCACCCCGTACCTCCCCTTCCCGCCGTATGTGCTTATTTTTTATTTTATATTTTTTTGATAGGATCAGGCGTTATTTTGCCGAAATTCCTTACAATAAAGACATTAATATCTTATTCGCAACCATAAGTTTAATTAAACACAATGATGTGTCTTACCTGGATTGAAGAGCAAGAAATTTCAGGTTAAACACATCACTATGTTTAATGAAGCACTTGGTTGCGAATTAGATATTGCGAAGCAGTTGATCATGGGCGGCGGTAGTCACTTAACATCAGGTGAGCCGCATGCTCGTTGGCCCCCTCTTCTATAAATTAAAAAAAATAAAATGATAGTTTTGTTATCATATTACTTGTATTCGTTAAACCGTTTTGGGCCACGTGTTTTATGAAATATATTTATACTGCAGATTTAATGTTTAAAAACTGTGAAAATGGTTTTATAATGTTTTTTTTATGATTTTATTTAATATTCAATAATGTTTATAATTTGATGGTAGATCATAGATAGATGTCATTGAGGATAACCTTAGAAATACTCCGAATTCAAAAAAATTCGTTTGAGTACTTGGTTATACTTCACATTAGCAAGTTAAGTATATTTCCACTATGTTTTAGCTTATTTTTGCTTATTGTATTTTGGTCAAAATATGTGTGAAGATATTTTCTGTAAATATATTACCTTAAATTAGCTAAATTCCTTTCATAATTTGTTCCTTGTTATGAGGAAGATTTTAACAGCTCTTTGCTTTATAGGAAAATTTAAGTTTATCTATTTCTAAACCAATATTTTTCCTAGTTATTTGTTTAATTTTCCATGAAAAAAGCATTATGAGTGGGATCGACCGTGCTTTTTGTTAATAAGTTTTCTTTTAAATTACAGCATATTTCAATATGGATGTGGAGTTGGTGAAAGGGCTTTTGGAAACCGTCCGAAATGCAATGGTTTCATATAAGCAGCACGACGACGTAGCGGTGCCAATTATTGATCCGGACAAAAGCAACTACGAAGCAGCTGCCTGGTGCGAAAGCTTCGATAAGTTAGGAGAAGAGTTTAAATGGAGCAGCTTTGAGAAGGTTGCAAAAGCCGGTAAGGCCCTTCGGGGCTCTGCATTATCCTGGTTTGAAACGTGGGAGTCTGAGACAGTTAATCATGAGAAGAATTCAAAAAAGATATTATGTCTGTTTACCCGCAAAATAAAAATTTTAGTGAGAAACTGTTAAATGTTGTGTAATATACGTCGAATTCTGCAGATTCTTTCGATGGTTATGCTAGGTAGAAATTGAGACTATTAAAATCTACTGAAATGTTTTACTGAGGGCCAATAAATAGATCTTGTTTGAAACTCGTCGAATACTGCGCGGTCGCTATTCTTTGCGATCATCAGAACGACCGCCTTTAAAAGTCTGAATCGGAAGGTAGCGATATAACATCTCTATCTGAATAAGTAAGCACAATGATGTGTCTTACCTGGATTGAAAAGAAAGAGATTTCCTGGAACAGTGGTGTTGGGAGTAGTGGTGCCGAGAGTAGTGGTGCCGGGAGTAGTGGTGCCGGGAGTAGTGGTGCCGGGAGTAGTGGTGCCGGGAGTAGTGGTGCCGGGAGTAGTGGTGCCGGGAGTAGTGGTGCCGGGAGTAGTGGTACTGGGACTAGTGGTGACGGGATTAGTGCATGCAATTGAGGGAGGACGAGAGTTGCTCTTTGATCCAGGTTAAACACATCATTGTGTCTAATGATGCACTTGGTTTCGAATTAGATATTAATGTCTTTATTATAATAAATTACCGCAAAGTAACGCCTGATTCTATCAAAAAATTTATAAAATAAAAACTAAGCACGTCCGGCAGGGAGAAGTAGGGGTGACTCTACAAATCCTCCCTTTCTCCCCACACCACCTCCCACCCTCTAGTTAAGGCAACTTAATTGTAAACCTTACCAGAGTTTTGCTCAGGGGGAAGTAATTTAAGAGAAACTACTGTGGCTAAAGAAAAACTTAGGTTGTGCCTGCGAGAATGGTTAGAACAAAATATTGAATCAGAAAATTTAATTTAAAATATTACCTGATAAAAAATGCATTTATTTGTAAAATATTTCTAGATTTAAAAAATTATTATATACATTCTAAGAGAATATCTAATATAATATTGAATCAGAAAATTTAATTCAAAATATTACGTAATAAAATATTCATTTATTTGTAAAATATTTCTAGATTTAAATTTTTTTATATATATTATATACATTCTCTTACTTATGAATATGTTCAGGAAAAAAAAGATTAAAAGAAATCTTTTTTGCGCATATAATATCATTTATGTATCTACTTATATATAGTTTTGGTACTTATTCAATTATATATGACTTTCTATATGATCAAAGTCTGACTGAAAATGCTCATCTGACTCGACTCTCTTTATTTCTATCTTCATCTATGTATAATTGATAATATACATAGATGAAGATAGAAATCGTCACGACCACGGAGTTGTCAAATATAATTTGAAGACTCCGTGGCGCAGTGGCTTAGCAATGAGTGGCCGCGCTGGGGGTCGCGGGTTCTAATCCCGCACGGAACAAGTATTTGTATGGCCTACAAACAATTGTTCCGAAAGAAAGAATTGTTAGTTCATTACTACGTCCGGTTTCTAATGTATGTTATGTTATGTTATGTATATTGTAATAAATGTATTAAAATGGCCTGAAAATGTTTATTTGGATTTTAAAAATATATTTCATATTTTTGAATGTGTTTAAGTAAGATTTTAGTTTGGATGCTTGCGGTCCACCACAGTACGTTTCAAAAGGAGTTTTCTTCCGCGTACAACCTCTCTGTGGAATAGTTTACCACCGGCGATTTTTCCGGACCGATACGACCTGGGGACCTTCGAGAAAAGAGCTTACTCCTTTCTAAAGGGCCGGCAACGCACCTGCAATTCTCCGGGTGTTGCAGTTGATCATGAGCGGCGGTAGTCGCTTAACATCAGGTGAGTCGCATGCTCGTTGGCTCCCTATTCTATAAATTAAAAAAATAAAAAAAATAGTTGCTTTATCTTATTACTTGTATGCGTTAAACCGTTTTGGGCCACGTGTTTTCTGAAATATATTTATACTGCAGATTTAATGTTTAAAAACTGTGAAAATGCTCATTATAATGTTTTTTTATGATTTTATTTAATATTCAATAATGTTTATAATTTGATTTAGATGTGCTGAGTGATGTTCAGTTGTAAAATAATAAAAGTGTCATTGAGGATAACCTTAGAAATACTCCGAATTCAAAAAAATTCGTTTGAGTACTTGGTTATTCTTCACATTAGCAAGTTAAGTATATTTCCACTATGTCTTGCTTATTTTGCTTATTGTGTCTTTTAGTTAAAATATGTGTGAAGATATTTTTCTGTAAATATATTAACTTAAATTAGCGAAATTCCTTTCATAATTTGTTCCTTGTTATGAGGAAGATTTTAACAGCTCTTTGCTTTATAGGACAATTTAAGTTTATTTTTCCTAGTTCTTTGTTTAATTTTCCATGAAAATAGAATTATAAGTGGGATCGCCCATGCTTTTTGTTAATAGTTTTCTTTTAAATTACAGCATATTTCAATATGGATGTGGAGTTGGTGAAAGGGCTTTTGGAAACCATCCGAAATGCAATGGTTTCAAATAAGCAGCACGACGACGAAACGGTACCAATTATTGATCCGGACAAAAGCAACTACGAAGCAGCTGCCTGGTGCGAAAGCTTCGATAAGTTAGGAGAAGAGTTTAAATGGAGCAGCTTTGAGAAGGTTGCAAAAGCCGGTAAGGCCCTTCGGGGCTCTGCATTATCCTGGTTTGAAACGTTGGAGTCCGAGACAGTTAATTATGAGAAGAATTCAAAAAGCGGCCAAGAGCGTGTAGGGCCACGCTCAATGTAGGGTTCCGTAGTTTTTCGTCCGTCACAGTAAGTGTTCCCACTTATGAGTTTGTACAAAAACTGTTGTTTCCATCCAAGTTCAAAATAATTTTCCTAGAAAGTCCTTATAAAGTTCTACTTTCCAGATTTTTTTCATATTTTCTAAACTTATGGTTCAAAAGTTAGAGGGGGGGGGACACATTGTTTTTTACTTTTGGAGCGATTATTTCCGTAATTATTGACATTATCAAAAAATGATTTTAGTAAACCCCTATTCATTTTTAAATACCTTTCCAACAATATATCACACGTTAGGGTTGAAATTAAAAAAAAAATCACTTCCCACTTTAAATATAGGGGGGCTACCCTAATAAAACATTTTTTTCCAATTTTTGTTTTACCACTTTGTCGGCGTGATTGATACACATATTGGTACCAAATTTCAGCTTTCTAGTGCTAACGGTCACAGAGATTAAGCGAGGACGGACAGACGGACAGACAGACATGGCGAAACTATAAGGGTTCCTAGTTGACTACGGAACCTAAAAAAGATATGTCTGTTTACCCGCAAAATAAAAAAATTAGAGAGAAACTGTTAAACGTTGTGTAATATACGTCGAATTCCGCAGATTCTTTCGATGGTTATGCTAGGTAGTAATTGAGACTATTAAAATCTACTGAAATATGTTTTACTGAAGGCCAATAAATAGAGCTTGTTTGAAACTCGTCGAATTCTGCGCGGTCGTTATTCTTTGCGATCATTAGAACGACCGCCTTTAAAAGTCTGAATCAAAAGGTAGCGATATAAAATCACTATGTGAATAAGTAAGAAAAAGAAGTAAATTGCCTGAACTAGGGGGTGGGAGTTGATGTGAGGGAGAGGCAGGAGTTGTAGGGTCACCCCGTACTTCCCCTTCCAGCCGTATGTGCTTATTTTTATTTTATATTTTTTTTGATAGAATCACGCGTCATTTTGCGGAAATTCCTTGCAATAAAAACATATATATCTTATTCGCAACCATACGTTTAATTAAACACAATGATGTGTCTTACCTGGATTGAAAAGAAAGAGATTTCCTGGAACAGTGGTGTTGGGAGTAGTGGTGCCGGGAGTAGTGGTGTTGGGGGTAGTGGTACTGGGACTAGCGGTGACGGGATTAGTGCATGCAATTGAGGAAGGACGAGAGGTGCTCTTTAATCAAGGTTAAACACATCATTGGGTGCGTTTGGCAGAAAAAAGCGCTAGCAAGCGCTTGTAAGCAAAATGGCGATCGTAAGCGTTAAGCGCTGTCAAATCGTAAGTAGCTATTTTCTACCAGGACACGATGTTAGTTTTAACCGGGGAACCTAACCTAATTTCAATATATGTTTGTAAAGTATTCATATTAAAAACTTACCAATCATGAATTTTTAATAACATGCTTATGTTTATTCACGTTATTATATTACTTAAAACTAATATTGCACAAAACAACTTAAAAACTCTACTTCAAAACAAACAAATTAAATAAGCAAAATGGCGGATTGTGTCAGCGCTACTGAAGTAGTAACCGTGTCCTGGCCGAAAACTATTTCAGCGCTTGTAAGCGCTTGCTAGCGCTTTTTTCTGCCAAACGCACCCATTGTGTTTAATGAAGCACTTGGTTGCGAATTAGATATTGCGAAGCAGTTGATCATGGGCGGCGGTAGTCACTTAACATCAGGTGAGCCGCATGCTCGTTGGCCCCGTCTTCTATAAATTAAAAAAATAAAATAATAGTTGCTTTATCTTATTACTTGTATGCGTTAAATCGTTTTGGGCCACGTGTTTTCTGAAATATATTTATACTGCAGATTTAATGTTTAAAAACTGTGAAAATGGTTTTTATATTGTTTTTTTATGATTTTATTTAATATTCAATAATGTTTACAATTTGATTTAGAGATTTGTTCAGTTGTAGAAAGATAAAGCGTCGTTGAGGATAACCTAAGAAATACTCCGAATTCAAAAAAATCGTTTGAGTACTTGGTTATTCTTCACATTAGCAAGTTCAATATATTTCCACTATGTTTTGCTTATTTTTGCTTATTGTCTTTTGGTTAAAATATGTGTGAAGGTATTTTCTGTAAATATATTAACTTAAATTAGCTAAATTCCTTTCATAATTTGTTCCTTGTTATGAGGAATATTTTAACAGCTCTTTGCTTTATAGGACAATTTAAGTTTATTATTTCTAAACAAATATTTTTCCTAGTTCTTTGTTTAATTTTCCATGAAAATAGCATTATAAGTGGGATCGCCCGTGCTTTTTGTTAATAGAGTTCTTTTAAATTACAGCATATTTCAATATGGATTTGGAGTTGGTGAAAGGGCTTTTGGAAACCGTCCGAAATGCAATGGTTTCATATAAGCGGCACGACGACGTAGCGGTGCCAATTATTGATCCGGACAAAAGCAACTACGAAGCGGCTGCCTGGTGCGAAAGCTTCGATAAGTTAGGAGAAGAGTTTAAATGGAGCAGCTTTGAGAATGTTGCAAAAGCCGGTAAGGCCCTTCGGGGCTCTGCATTATCCTGGTTTGAAACGTGGGAGTCTGAGACAGTTAATCATGAGAAGAATTCGAAAAAGATATTATGTCTGTTTACCCGCAAAATAAAAAATTTAGTGAGAAACTGTTAAACGTTGTGTAATATACGTCGAATTCCGTAGATTCTTTCGATGGTTATGCTAGGTAGAAATTGAGACTATTAAAATCTACTGAAATGTTTTACTGAAGGCCAATAAATAGAGCTTGTTTGAAACTCGTCGAATACTGCGCGGTCGCTATTCTTTGCGATCATCAGAACGACCGCCTTTAAAAGTCTGAATCAGAAGGTAGCGATATAACATCTCTATCTGAATAAGTAAGAAAAAGAAGTAAGTTGCCTGAACTAGGGGGTGGGAGGTGATGAGGGAGAGGCAGGAGTTGTAGGGTCACCCCGTACTTCCCCTTCCTGCCGTATGTGCTTATTTTTTATTTTATATATTTTTTTTTTTGATAGAATCACGCGTCATTTTGCAGAAATTCCTTACAATAAAGACATTAATATCTTATTCGCAACCATACGTTTAATTAAGCACAATGTGTTCTTACCTGGATTGAAAAGAAAGAGATTTCCTGGAACAGTGGTGTTGGGAGTAGTGGTGCCGGAGTAGTGGTGCCGGGAGTAGTGGTGCCGGGAGTAGTGGTGCCGGGAGTAGTGGTGCCGGGAGTAGTGGTGCCGGGAGTAGTGGTGCCGGGGGTAGTGGTACTGGGACTAGTGGTGACGGGATTAGTGCATGCAATTGAGGGAGGACGAGAGTTGCTCTTTGATCCAGGTTAAACACATCATTGTGTTTAATGAAGCACTTGGTTTCGAATTAGATATTAATGTCTTTATTATAATAAATTACCGCAAAGTAACGCCTGATTCTATCAAAAAATTTAGAAAATAAAAACTAAGCACGTCCGGCAGGGAGAAGTAGGGGTGACTCTACAAACTCCCTTTCTCCCCACACCACCTCCCACCCTCTAGTTAAGGCAACTTAATTGTAAACCTTACCCGAGTTTTGCTCAGGGGGAAGTAATTTAAGAGAAACTACTGTGGCTAAAGAAAAACTTAGGTTGTGCCTGCGAGAATGGTTAGAACAAAATATTGAATCGGAAAATTTAATTTAAAATATTATCTGATAAAAAATGCATTTATTTGTGAAATATTTCTAGATTTAAAAAATTATTATATACATTCTAAGAGAATATCTAATATTATATTGAATCAGAAAATTTAATTCAAAATATTACGTAATAAAATATTCATTTATTTGTAAAATATTTCTAGATTTAAATTTTTTTATATATATTATATACATTCTCTTACTTATGAATATGTTCAGGAAAAAAAAGATTAAAAGAAATCTTTTTTTGCGCATATAATATCATTTATGTATCTACTTATATATAGTTTTGGTACTTATTCAATTATATATGACTTTCTATATGATCAAAGTCTGACTGAAAATGCTCATCTGACTCGACTCTCTTTATTTCTATCTTCATCTATGTATAATTGATAATATACATAGATGAAGATAGAAATCGTCACGACCACGGAGTTGTCAAATAAAATTTGAAGACTCCGTGGCGCAGTGGCTTAGCAATGAGTGGCCGCGCTGGGGGTCGCGGGTTCTAATCCCGCACGGAACAAGTATTTGTATGGCCTACAAACAATTGTTCCGAAAGAAAGAATTGTTAGTTCATTACTACGTCCGGTTTCTAATGTATGTTATGTTATGTTATGTATATTGTAATAAATGTATTAAAATGGCCCGAAAATGTTTATTTGGATTTTAAAAATATATTTCATATTTTTGAATGTGTTTAAGTAAGATTTTAGTTTGGATGCTTGCGGTCCACCACAGTACGTTTCAAAAGGAGTTTTCTTCCGCGTACAACCTCTCTGTGGAATAGTTTACCACCGGCGATTTTTCCGGACCGATACGACCTGGGGACCTTCGAGAAAAGAGCTTACTCCTTTCTAAAGGGCCGGCAACGCACCTGCAATTCTCCGGGTGTTGCAGTTGATCATGAGCGGCGGTAGTCGCTTAACATCAGGTGAGTCGCATGCTCGTTGGCTCCCTATTCTATAAATTAAAAAAATAAAAAAAATAGTTGCTTTATCTTATTACTTGTATGCGTTAAACCGTTTTGGGCCACGTGTTTTCTGAAATATATTTATACTGCAGATTTAATGTTTAAAAACTGTGAAAATGGTCATTATAATGTTTTTTTTATGATTTTATTTAATATTCAATAATGTTTATAATTTGATTTAGATGTGCTGAGTGATGTTCAGTTGTAAAATAATAAAAGTGTCATTGAGGATAACCTTAGAAATACTCCGAATTCAAAAAAATTCGTTTGAGTACTTGGTTATTCTTCACATTAGCAAGTTAAGTATACTTCCACTATGTCTTGCTTATTTTTGCTTATTGTCTTTTGGTTAAAATATGTGTGAAGATATTTTCTGTAAATATATTAACTTAAATTAGCGAAATTCCTTTCATAATTTGTTCCTTGTTATGAGGAAGATTTTAACAGCTCTTTGCTTTATAGGACAATTTAAGTTTATTTTTCCTAGTTCTTTGTTTAATTTTCCATGAAAATAGAATTATAAGTGGGATCGCCCATGCTTTTTGTTAATAGTTTTCTTTTAAATTACAGCATATTTCAATATGGATGTGGAGTTGGTGAAAGGGCTTTTGGAAACCATCCGAAATGCAATGGTTTCAAATAAGCAGCACGACGACGAAGCGGTACCAATTATTGATCCGGACAAAAGCAACTACGAAGCAGCTGCCTGGTGCGAAAGCTTCGATAAGTTAGGAGAAGAGTTTAAATGGAGCAGCTTTGAGAAGCTTGCAAAAGCCGGTAAGGCCCTTCGGGGCTCTGCATTATCCTGGTTTGAAACGTTGGAGTCCGAGACAGTTAATTATGAGAAGAATTCAAAAAAGATATGTCTGTTTACACGCAAAATAAAAATTTTAGTGAGAACCTGTTAAACGTTGTGTAATATACGTCGAATTCCGCAGATTCTTTCGATGGTTATGCTAGGTAGAAATTGAGACTATTAAAATCTACTGAAATATGTTTTACTGAAGGCCAATAAATAGAGCTTGTTTGAAACTCGTCGAATTCTGCGCGGTCGTTATTCTTTGCGATCATTAGAACGACCGCCTTTAAAAGTCTGAATCAAAAGGTAGCGATATAAAATCACTATCTGAATAAGTAAGAAAAAGAAGTAAATTGCCTGAACTAGGGGGTGGGAGTTGATGTGAGGGAGAGGCAGGAGTTGTAGGGTCACCCCGTACTTCCCCTTCCAGCCGTATGTGCTTATTTTTATTTTATATTTTTTTTGATAGAATCACGCGTCATTTTGCGGAAATTCCTTACAATAAAAACATATATATCTTATTCGCAACCATACGTTTAATTAAACACAATGATGTGTCTTACCTGGATTGAAAAGAAAGAGATTTCCTGGAACAGTGGTGTTGGGAGTAGTGGTGCCGGGAATAGTGGTGTTGGGGGTAGTGGTACTGGGACTAGCGGTGACGGGATTAGTGCATGCAATTGAGGAAGGACGAGAGGTGCTCTTTAATCAAGGTTAAACACATCATTGGGTGCGTTTGGCAGAAAAAAGCGCTAGCAAGCGCTTGTAAGCAAAATGGCGATCGTAAGCGTTAAGCGCTGTCAAATCGTAAGTAGCTATTTTCTACCAGGACACGATGTTAGTTTAAACCGGGGAACCTAACCTAATTTCAATATATGTTTGTAAAGTATTCATATTAAAAACTTACCAATCATGAATTTTTAATAACATGCTTATGTTTATTCACGTTATTATATTACTTAAAACTAATATTGCACAAAACAACTTAAAAACTCTACTTCAAAACAAACAAATTAAATAAGCAAAATGGCGGATTGTGTCAGCGCTACTGAAGTAGTAACCGTGTCCTGGCCGAAAACTATTTCAGCGCTTGTAAGCGCTTGCTAGCGCTTTTTTCTGCCAAACGCACCCATTGTGTTTAATGAAGCACTTGGTTGCGAATTAGATATTGCGAAGCAGTTGATCATGGGCGGCGGTAGTCACTTAACATCAGGTGAGCCGCATGCTCGTTGGCCCCCTCTTCTATAAATTAAAAAAAATAAAATAATAGTTGCTTTATCTTATTACTTGTATGCGTTAAATCGTTTTGGGCCACGTGTTTTCTGAAATATATTTATACTGCAGATTTAATGTTTAAAAACTGTGAAAATGGTTTTTATATTGTTTTTTTATGATTTTATTTAATATTCAATAATGTTTACAATTTGATTTAGATGTGCCGAGTGTTGTTCAGTTGTAAAAAAATAAAAGCGTCATTGAGGATAACCTAAGAAATACTCCGAATTCAAAAAATTCGTTTGAGTACTTGGTTATTCTTCACATTAGCAAGTTCAATATATTTCCACTATGTCTTGCTTATTTTTGCTTATTGTCTTTTGGTTAAAATATGTGTGAAGGTATTTTCTGTAAATATATTAACTTAAATTAGCTAAATTCCTTTCATAATTTGTTCCTTGTTATGAGGAATATTTTAACAGCTCTTTGCTTTATAGGACAATTTAAGTTTATCTATTTCTAAACAAATATTTTTCCTAGTTCTTTGTTTAATTTTCCATGAAAATAGCATTATAAGTGGGATCGCCCGTGCTTTTTGTTAATAGAGTTCTTTTAAATTACAGCATATTTCAATATGCATGTGGAGTTGGTGAAAGGGCTTTTGGAAACCGTCCGAAATGCAATGGTTTCATATAAGCGGCACGACGACGTAGCGGTGCCAATTATTATATTATTGATCCGGACAAAAGCAACTACGAAGCAGCTGCCTATTGCGAAAGCTTCGATAAGTTAGGAGAAGAGTTTAAATGGAGCAGCTTTGAGAAGGTTGCAAAAGCCGGTAAGGCCCTTAGGGGCTCTGCATTATCCTGGTTTGAAACGTGGGAGTCTGAGACAGTTAATCATGAGAAGAATTCAAAAAAGATAATATGTCTGTTTACCCGCAAAATAAAAATTTTAGTGAGAAACTGTTAAACGTTGTGTAATATACGTCGAATTCCGTAGATTCTTTCGATGGTTATGCTAGGTAGAAATTGAGACTATTAAAATCTACTGAAATGTTTTACTGAAGACCAATAAATAGAGCTTGCTTGATACTCGTCGAATACTGCGCGGTCGCTATTCTTTGCGATCATCAGAACGACCGCCTTTAAAAGTCTGAATCAGAAGGTAGCGATATAACATCTCTATCTGAATAAGTAAGAAAAAGAAGTAAGTTGCCTGAACTAGGGGGTGGGAGGTGATGAGGGAGAGGCAGGAGTTGTAGGGTCACCCCGTACTTCCCCTTCCTGCCGTATGTGCTTATTTTTTATTTTATATTTTTTTTTTGATAGAATCACGCGTCATTTTGCGGAAATTCCTTACAATAAAGACATTAATATCTTATTCGCAACCATACGTTTAATTAAGCACAATGATGTATCTTACCTGGATTGAAAAGAAAGAGATTTCCTGGAACAGTGGTGTTGGGAGTAGTGGTGCCGGGAGTAGTGGTGCCGGGAGTAGTGGTGCCGGGAGTAGTGGTGCCGGGAGTAGTGGTGCCGGGAGTAGTGGTGCCGGGAGTAGTGGTGCCGGGAGTAGTGGTGCCGGGAGTAGTGGTGCCGGGAGTAGTGGTGCCGGGAGTAGTGGTACTGGGACTAGTGGTGACGGGATTAGTGCATGCAATTGAGGGAGGACGAGAGTTGCTCTTTGATCCAGGTTAAACACATCATTGTGTTTAATGATGCACTTGGTTTCGAATTAGATATTAATGTCTTTATTATAATAAATTACCGCAAAGTAACGCCTGATTCTATCAAAAAATTTAGAAAATAAAAACTAAGCACGTCCGGCAGGGAGAAGTAGGGGTGACTCTACAAACTCCCCTTTCTCCCCACACCACCTCCCACCCTCTAGTTAAGGCAACTTAATTGTAAACCTTACCAGAGTTTTGCTCAGGGGGAAGTAATTTAAGAGAAACTACTGTGGCTAAAGAAAAACTTAGGTTGTGCCTGCGAGAATGGTTAGAACAAAATATTGAATCAGAAAATTTAATTTAAAATATTACCTGATAAAAAATGCATTTATTTGTAAAATATTTCTAGATTTAAAAAATTATTATATACATTCTAAGAGAATATCTAATATAATATTGAATCAGAAAATTTAATTCAAAATATTACGTAATAAAATATTCATTTATTTGTAAAATATTTCTAGATTTAAATTTTTTTATATATATTATATACATTCTTTTACTTATGAATATGTTCAGGAAAAAAAAGATTAAAAGAAATCTTTTTTTGCGCATATAATATCATTTATGTATCTACTTATATATAGTTTTGGTACTTATTCAATTATATATGACTTTCTATATGATCAAAGTCTGACTGAAAATGCTCATCTGACTCGACTCTCTTTATTTCTATCTTCATCTATGTATAATTGATAATATACATAGATGAAGATAGAATCGTCACGACCACGGAGTTGTCAAATATAATTTGAAGACTCCGTGGCGCAGTGGCTTAGCAATGAGTGGCCGCGCTGGGGGTCGCGGGTTCTAATCCCGCACGGAACAAGTATTTGTATGGCCTACAAACAATTGTTCCGAAAGAAAGAATTGTTAGTTCATTACTACGTCCGGTTTCTAATGTATGTTATGTTATGTTATGTATATTGTAATAAATGTATTAAAATGGCCTGAAAATGTTTATTTGGATTTTAAAAATATATTTCATATTTTTGAATGTGTTTAAGTAAGATTTTAGTTTGGATGCTTGCGGTCCACCACAGTACGTTTCAAAAGGAGTTTTCTTCCGCTTACAACCTCTCTGTGGAATAGTTTACCACCGGCGATTTTTCCGGACCGATACGACCTGGGGACCTTCGAGAAAAGAGCTTACTCCTTTCTAAAGGGCCGGCAACGCACCTGCAATTCTCCGGGTGTTGCAGTTGATCATGAGCGGCGGTAGTCGCTTAACATCAGGTGAGTCGCATGCTCGTTGGCTCCCTATTCTATAAATTAAAAAAATAAAAAAAATAGTTGCTTTATCTTATTACTTGTATGCGTTAAACCGTTTTGGGCCACGTGTTTTCTGAAATATATTTATACTGCAGATTTAATGTTTAAAAACTGTGAAAATGGTTTTTATAATATTTTTTTATGATTTTATTTAATATTCAATAATGTTTATAATTTGATTTAGATGTGCTGAGTGTTGTTCAGTTGTAAAAAAAATAAAAGCGTCATTGAGGATAACCTTAGAAATACTACGAATTCAAAAAAATTCGTTTGAGTACTTGGTTATTCTTCACATTAGCAAGTTAAATATATTTCCACTATGTCTTGCTTATTTTTGCTTATTGTCTTTTGGTTAAAATATGTGTGAAGGTATTTTCTGTAAATATATTAACTTAAATTAGCTAAATTCCTTTCATAATTTGTTCCTTGTTATGAGGAATATTTTAACAGCTCTTTGCTTTATAGGACAATTTAAGTTTATCTATTTCTAAACAAATATTTTTTCCTAGTTCTTTGTTTAATTTTCCATGAAAATAGCATTATAAGTGGGATCGCCCGTGCTTTTTGTTAATAGTTTTCTTTTAAATTACAGCATATTTCAATATAGATGTGGAGTTGGTGAAAGGGCTTTTGGAAACCGTCCGAAATGCAATGGTTTCATATAAGCGGCACAACAACGTAGCGGTGCCAATTATTGATCCGGACAAGCAACTACGAAGAAGCTGCCTGGTGCGAAAGCTTCGATAAGTTAGGAGAAGAGTTTAAATGGAGCAGCTTTGAGAAGGTTGCAAAAGCCGGTAAGGCCCTTCGGGGCTCTGCATTATCCTGGTTTGAAACGTGGGAGTCTGAGACAGTTAATCATGAGAAGAATTCAAAAAAGATATTATGTCTGTTTACCCGCAAAATAAAAATTTTAGTGAGAAACTGTTAAACGTTGTGTAATATACGTCGAATTCCGTAGATTCTTTCGATGGTTATGCTAGGTAGAAATTGAGACTATTAAAATCTACTGAAATGTTTTACTGAAGGCCAATAAATAGAGCTTGTTTGAAACTCGTCGAATACTGCGCGGTCGCTATTCTTTGCGATCATCAGAACGACCGCCTTTAAAAGTCTGAATCAGAAGGTAGCGATATAACATCTCTATCTGAATAAGTAAGAAAAAGAAAGTAAGTTGCCTGAACTAGGGGGTGGGAGGTGATGAGGGAGAGGCAGGAGTTGTAGGGTCACCCCGTACTTCCCCTTCCTGCCGTATGTGCTTATTTTTTATTTTATATTTTTTTTTTGATAGAATCACGCGTCATTTTGCGGAAATTCCTTACAATAAAGACATTAATATCTTATTCGCAACCATACGTTTAATTAAGCACAATGATGTATCTTACCTGGATTGAAAAGAAAGAGATTTCCTGGAACAGTGGTGTTGGGAGTAGTGGTGCCGGAAGTAGTGGTGCCGGGAGTAGTGGTGCCGGGAGTAGTGGTGCCGGGAGTAGTGGTGCCGGGAGTAGTGGTGCCGGGAGTAGTGGTGCCGGGAGTAGTGGTGCCGGGAGTAGTGGTGCCGGGAGTAGTGGTGCCGGGAGTAGTGGTACTGGGACTAGTGGTGACGGGATTAGTGCATGCAATTGAGGGAGGACGAGAGTTGCTCTTTGATCCAGGTTAAACACATCATTGTGTTTAATGATGCACTTGGTTTCGAATTAGATATTAATGTCTTTATTATAATAAATTACCGCAAAGTAACGCCTGATTCTATCAAAAAATTTAGAAAATAAAAACTAAGCACGTCCGGCAGGGAGAAGTAGGGGTGACTCTACAAACTCCCTTTCTCCCCACACCACCTCCCACCCCTCTAGTTAAGGCAACTTAATTGTAAACCTTACTAGAGTTTTGCTCAGGGGGAAGTAATTTAAGAGAAACTACTGTGGCTAAAGAAAAACTTAGTTGTGGCTGCGAGAATGGTTAGAACAAAATATTAAATCAGAAAATTTAATTTAAAATATTACGTGATAAAAAATTCATTTATTTGTAAAAAATTTCTCGATTTAAAAAATTATTATATACATTCTAAGAGAATATCTAATATAATATTGAATCGGAAAATTTAATTCAAAATATTACGTAATAAAATATTCATTTATTTGTAAAATATTTCTAGATTTAAATTTTTTTATATATATTATATACATTCTCTTACTTATGAATATGTTCAGGAAAAAAAAGATTAAAAGAAATCTTTTTTGCGCATATAATATCATTTATGTATCTACTTATATATAGTTTTGGTACTTATTCAATTATATATGACTTTCTATATGATCAAAGTCTGACTGAAAATGCTCATCTGACTCGACTCTCTTTATTTCTATCTTCATCTATGTATAATTGATAATATACATAGATGAAGATAGAAATCGTCACGACCACGGAGTTGTCAAATATAATTTGAAGACTCCGTGGCGCAGTGGCTTAGCAATGAGTGGCCGCGCTGGGGGTCGGGGTTCTAATCCCCGCACGGAACAAGTATTTGTATGGCCTACAAAAAATTGTTCCGAAAGAAAGAATTGTTAGTTCATTACTACGTCCGGTTTCTAATGTATGTTATGTTATGTTATGTATATTGTAATAAATGTATTAAAATGGCCTGAAAATGTTTATTTGGATTTTAAAAATATATTTCATATTTTTGAATGTGTTTAAGTAAGATTTTAGTTTGGATGCTTGCGGTCCACCACAGTACGTTTCAAAAGGAGTTTTCTTCCGCGTACAACCTCTCTGTGGAATAGTTTACCACCGGCGATTTTTCCGGACCGATACGACCTGGGGACCTTCGAGAAAAGAGCTTACTCCTTTCTAAAGGGCCGGCAACGCACCTGCAATTCTCCGGGTGTTGCAGTTGATCATGAGCGGCGGTAGTCGCTTAACATCAGGTGAGTCGCATGCTCGTTGGCTCCCTATTCTATAAATTAAAAAAAAAAAAAAAATAGTTGCTTTATCTTATTACTTGTATGCGTTAAACCGTTTTGGGCCACGTGTTTTCTGAAATATATTTATACTGCAGATTTAATGTTTAAAAACTGTGAAAATGCTCATTATAATGTTTTTTTTTATGATTTTATTTAATATTCAATAATGTTTATAATTTGATTTAGATGTGCTGAGTGATGTTCAGTTGTAAAATAATAAAAGTGTCATTGAGGATAACCTTAGAAATACTCCGAATTCAAAAAAATTCGTTTGAGTACTTGGTTATTCTTCACATTAGCAAGTTAAGTATATTTCCACTATGTCTTGCTTATTTTTGCTTATTGTCTTTTGGTTAAAATATGTGTGAAGATATTTTCTGTAAATATATTAACTTAAATTAGCGAAATTCCTTTCATAATTTGTTCCTTGTTATGAGGAAGATTTTAACAGCTCTTTGCTTTATAGGACAATTTAAGTTTATTTTTCCTAGTTCTTTGTTTAATTTTCCATGAAAATAGAATTATAAGTGGGATCGCCCATGCTTTTTGTTAATAGTTTTCTTTTAAATTACAGCATATTTCAATATGGATGTGGAGTTGGTGAAAGGGCTTTTGGAAACCATCCGAAATGCAATGGTTTCAAATAAGCAGCACGACGACGAAGCGGTACCAATTATTGATCCGGACAAAAGCAACTACGAAGCAGCTGCCTGGTGCGAAAGCTTCGATAAGTTAGGAGAAGAGTTTAAATGGAGCAGCTTTGAGAAGGTTGCAAAAGCCGGTAAGGCCCTTCTGGGCTCTGCATTATCCTGGTTTGAAACGTTGGAGTCAGAGACAGTTAATTATGAGAAGAATTCAAAAAAGATATGTCTGTTTACACGCAAAATAAAAATTTTAGTGAGAAACTGTTAAACGTTGTGTAATATACGTCGAATTCCGCAGATTCTTTCGATGGTTATGCTAGGTAGAAATTGAGACTATTAAAATCTACTGAAATATGTTTTACTGAATGCCAATAAATAGAGCTTGTTTGAAACTCGTCGAATTCTGCGCGGTCGTTATTCTTTGCGATCATTAGAACGACCGCCTTTAAAAGTCTGAATCAGAAGGTAGCGATATAAAATCACTATCTGAATAAGTAAGAAAAAGAAGTAAATTGCCTGAACTAGGTGGTGGGAGTTGATGTGAGAGAGAGGCAGGAGTTGTAGGGTCACCCCGTACTTCCCCTTCCTGCCGTATGTGCTTATTTTTATTTTATATTTTTTTTTGATAGAATCACGCGTCATTTTGCGGAAATTCCTTACAATAAAAACATATATATCTTATTCGCAACCATACGTTTAATTAAACACAATGATGTGTCTTACCCGGATTGAAAACAAAGAGATTTCCTGGAACAGTGGTGTTGGGAGTAGTGGTGCCGGGAGTAGTGGTGTTGGGGGTAGTGGTACTGGGACTAGCGGTGACGGGATTAGTGCATGCAATTGAGGAAGGACGAGAGGTGCTCTTTAATCAAGGTTAAACACATCATTGGGTACGTTTGGCAGAAAAAAAGCGCTAGCAAGCGCTTGTAAGCAAAATGGCGATCGTAAGCGTTAAGCGCTGTCAAATCGTAAGTAGCTATTTTCTACCAGGACACGATGTTAGTTTTAACCGGGGAACCTAACCTAATTTCAATATATGTTTGTAAAGTATTCATATTAAAAACTTACCAATCATTAATTTTTAATAACATGCTTATGTTTATTCACGTTATTATATTACTTAAAACTAATATTGCACAAAACAACTTAAAAACTCTACTTCAAAACAAACAAATTAAATAAGCAAAATGGCGGATTGTGTCAGCGCTACTGAAGTAGTAACCGTGTCCTGGCCGAAAACTATTTCAGCGCTTGTAAGCGCTTGCTAGCGCTTTTTTCTGCCAAACGCACCCATTGTGTTTAATGAAGCACTTGGTTGCGAATTAGATATTGCGAAGCAGTTGATCATGGGCGGCGGTAGTCACTTAACATCAGGTGAGCCACATGCTCGTTGGCCCCGTCTTCTATAAATTAAAAAAATAAAATAATAGTTGCTTTATCTTATTACTTGTATGCGTTAAATCGTTTTGGGCCACGTGTTTTCTGAAATATATTTATACTGCAGATTTAATGTTTAAAAACTGTGAAAATGGTTTTTATATTGTTTTTTTTATGATTTTATTTAATATTCAATAATGTTTATAATTTGATTTAGATGTGCCGAGTGTTGTTCAGTTGTAAAAAAATAAAAGCGTCATTGAGGATAACCTAAGAAATACTACGAATTCAAAAAAAATTCGTTTGAGTACTTGGTTATTCTTCACATTAGCAAGTTAAATATATTTCCACTATGTCTTGCTTATTTTTGCTTATTGTCTTTTGGTTAAAATATGTGTGAAGGTATTTTCTGTAAATATATTAACTTAAATTAGCTAAATTCCTTTCATAATTTGTTCCTTGTTATGAGGAATATTTTAACAGCTCTGTAATAGTGGAGACGAACTGTCCACTATTAACAGACTCCGAGTGGTTTTCTTCAAGGTGGAGAAATGAAACTCTGTTTATGTTTATGAATGTACTGTCGAATGGGATTCGGAATGGATTCTATTTTGCATCAACCTTGCCTATATTTATATGGCTGGCTCAATATTGATTTGCCAATGGTAACAATTAATATTTTGCCTAGCTAATTATATTGCTTATTTTATGACCAATGAAAGCTATTTAAAATATACAATTATCTACGTTTCGTTTCCCGGCGTGAGACTTGTTTGTTGTTCACGAAGCTACGTCGCTGGACCGGGCTATATAAGACATGCAGATCGGTGCGCACGCGTAGTCGGCGGGCGGCGGCGGTGTGGAATACAGCTCCGGAACAGCAAGAGGAAACGAACTGCGGCGTTGAAGAAACGGCTCACCATTGGTCGACGGATACGTGACGATAGCGGCGTGTGAAGTCGGTGTGGCGCTGAATGATATTTGCGGCTGCTTCTTGTTTCTTTATAAGAACGTCAAATTATCTATATACAGTCCGCAGTATCTCAGTAGCCAAGAATAATTAGGAAATAAAATGTTTTTTTTTATTTATTCTCGCCTTCCGCGTTATGGTAGCAGCGGAGTATATATTATTTATTCCCGTTTAGGTTTGATTAATCTGGCTGCTACATCACTCCCCTCCCCAGCGAAAGCGTACCGGAGGCTTGACGACTCGCCCGTATTTCGTAGTTTTTAAAATAGGTTTCAACTGGGTTGATGTAGATGATGAATTTTCAAGCTTCCTCGCTGGTGGTTTTGATGATGATGATGAATCCTCTGCAGTATCCTCGTTAATAATATAGGCAGGCTTTAGTCGGTCGATCGATATAATCGTAGATTTCCTTCCGGGTATTTGTAGTTTAAAAGTCTTGCTATTTCTCTCTAATACTTTATACGGTCCATCGTAGGTAGGTTGAAATTGTTTTTTCATTGCGTCGTTTCTTACAAAAACTTGTTTGCATGTTTTCAAATCTTGGTGAATGAATACTGATTTATTATTTCTGTGTGATTGCATTTCGGTGCATTTCAACGATAAGGCTTTGTTAATTGATTCTCGAAGTTTAGTTACGAAATCGTAATCCATTTCTTGTTTGTTTGACGCTGCTGAACTGAAGAAGTCACACGGCAGCCTTATGCTGCAGCCGTAGGTTAGCTGAGCGGCGCTAAGACTAGTGTCTGCACGCGGTGTTGCTCGTAGTCCGAGTAGCACTGTAGGTAGCTCATCAATCCACTTTGTATGTTGAGATAAACGAGTTTTGAGTGCAGTCTTTAATGTACGATGCAATCGTTCGATTATTCCGTTTGACTGAGGATGGTATGCTGTTGTACGCGTCTTCTGTATTCCCATAGTTTGAAGAAGTTTGAGGAATAGGTTGCTTTCGAAATTCCTTCCTTGATCCGTTGTGATGGTTTTAGGTGATCCGAAACGAGTAATCCAATTTTCATAAATTATCTTCGCGACGGATTCGGCTGAAGTATCATCGGTAGGTATTGCTTCTGGCCATCTTGTTGTTCTGTCGATCATTGTTACGAGATAACGATGTCCTTGCGGTGAAGTAGGTAATGGTCCAACGATGTCAACGTGCAAGTGTTCGAATCTCTCCGTGGGTGGAAATGTAGCTAGACTACTTGATGTATGCCTCTGAACTTTGCATTTTTGGCATTGAATGCATTGCTTCGCCCAGTTGCCAACATCCGCTTGCATTGCAGGCCAAAAGAATTTTTCAGTGATGAGTTTTCTTGTTGTTCTAACACCTGGATGACTAATGTTGTGCAGTGTATTGAAGACTTCGCGACGACATTCTTCTGGTATGTATGGTCGCATGGTTGTCGTTGAGGCTTCACAGTATATAGGTAGATGCGTCATTGGCATTGTAACTTGCTTGATGGACAAGTTACCTTGCTTCGCTAGATGTTTTATGTTGTCACTATCTCTGTCTTGTGCTGCGGCGATCTTATGATAGTCAATTGATGTAGGGCACGTTACACTGTCGATTGGTACGCGACTAAGTGCGTCGGCAACTATGTTGTCCTTTCCACTGATGTGACGTATGTCGGTCGTGAATTCACTTATGAAAATAAGTTGTCTTGCTCTTCGTGGTGTTTCCGATAGTGATGGTTTCTTTGGAAGTACATATGTTAATGGCTTGTGGTCGGTAAAAACGATCAGGTTTCGACCCTCGAACGTTTTTCTGAAGTGCTTGATAGCCATGTAAATAGCGAGTAGCTCTCGGTCGAATGTACTGTAGTTACGTTGAGTATCGGAGAACTTCTTCGAAAAATATCCAAGTGGTTGCCATTTCCCATTGCTGTATTGTTGGAGAACTGCTCCTGCTGAGAGATCGGATGCGTCGCTGAAGATAGCAAGGGTTGCTTCGTGTGATGGGTGAGCGAGTAAAGCTGCATTTTGGATCGCAATTTTACAAGCTTCAAATGCCTTCGTGGCTTCATCGTTCCATTCGATTGACGTTTTATCTTTTTTCTTCGTGTTGTGAAGGTAGACGTGAAGTGGTGCTTGGATTTCAGCGGCTTTAGGTATGTGTTCTCTGTAAAAATTTATCATCCCAAGAAAAACGCCTTAGCTCTTCGATAGTTTCAGGTTTTGCATAATCGATGATTGCTCTGACTTTTTCGGCAGGCGGTTTTATTCCTTCCTTGCTGACGGTGAAACCAAGAAATTGAACTTCTTGCTGTCCAAATATGCATTTCGAAGGGTTGATTGTGATTCCGTTGTCTTCTAATCGCTGTAGCACGGTGCGTAGATGGGTTTCGTGCGTTTCTTTATCAGGGCTTGCAACAAGGAGATCATCAATAAATGCGAAAACGAAATCCAGTCCATGAAGTACTTCGTGTATGAATCTTTGGAAAGTTTGACCTCCGTTCTTTAATCCTGGGATCATTCTTGGGAATTCGAATAATCCCATTGGGGTAATTATTGCTGTCTTCTCTATGTCTTCATCGCGGACTCTTATTTGTTGGTAAGCTCGGTTGAGATCGATGGTGGAGAATATAGTCTTGTCTGATAGTTGATGAGTGAAATCCCTGACTCGCGGTATTGGGTAGCGGTCAGGAGTGGTAATAGAATTCAGTCTTCTGTAATCTCCACAAACTCGTAATTCTCCGTTCTTCTTCGGTACAATGTGAAGTGGTGATGACCAAGGGCTTTTGCTTGGACGGCATATTCCTTGCTCAATCATGTTTTCGAATTCCTTTCGAACTTGCTCGTATAGGTGTGGTGCGATTGGACGTGCACGACAATGAAGTGGTGGTCCATTGGTGTCGATGAAATGCTCAACGTCGTTCTTCGGTGTTAATTTCATTGAAGTTATTCTTGTGATACCAGGGTATTCTTCGAGGATCTTGTGATACGGTTGTTGCACATCTATGCTTCTTATTGTGGGCAGATTGGTTGCTTGTACAAAAGACTGAGATGCAAGATTGGTTTTCCCGTCGATGATTCTTCTATTTTTGATGTCGACGACCAACTGGTGATGTTGAAGAAAATCAGCACCGATGATTGGTTTGCTGACTTTAGCGACGATAAATCTCCATTTGAATGGTCGGCGTAGATTAAAATCAAGTTCCATTGTTTTTTCTCCATATGTAGGAATAACCGTATTGTTTGCTGCATAGAGTTGAAAATCTAGTGGCTTCAACTTCTGTCCTTGCTTCGGCGGTAACACTGAGATATTTGCTCCGGTGTCGATAAGGAAAGTAAGCTTGCTTTTTTTATCGGTGACGAAAAGACGGTAGGACTTTGCTGTTACGCTGGATCCCGTCGCATCGAGCGTACTAGTTAGTTTTCCGTGTTCGTATTTTCATTTTTGAATGTACATGGTGCTGTGCATTTTCTTGCCTCGACCCCGAAACGTCGATGATAGTAGCAGTAAGGGGATCTTGATGTTGAGCTTATTCGACTTCTACTTGCAGAGCGGTTGCGACGAAAAAGGTGATCTTCGGTGTTGCTGATTGCGCTGGTTGTACTGTTGCTGGTAAAAGGTATGATGCTGGGAAGCTTTGAGCGCGGCGACTTCGAATGATAGCTTCCGAATTTCTTCGAGAAGAAACTGGGTATCATTGGCCTTTGTTGAAGTGCCTTCGATGATCGATATGTGTGAGCTACTGCTGTTTTCGATCATCTTGTCCGCCAGGAGTGCCAGTTCGTCGAGCTTCGTCTGCGTGCTGAATGTTTCGCTGACTGCTATTACCGATCGAATATGTGGTGGTAGGTGGTTTACCCACATTAGCCGTAGTGTTGAATCCGGAACTTTATCTCGCGCCAAAGTACGCATTTTGCGTAGGAGTTGTGTGGGTTTCTGGTCTCCAAGTTCTATTTCTGATAGAAGTTTCTGTAGCTGTCGACTGTCGGATTCTTCATATGCGGAGATCAGACGATCCTTCAGTGAATTATACTGGTCGACTGCTGGTGGGTTGTACAACAGGTCCGCAATTTGTTCGATGTCTTGTTTCTCAAGTTGGGCTATCACCATCTGTGCTAATTGCGCTTGGCTCTTCTTTAAACCATTCGTTGCGGCTTCAAAACTGACGAACCAAAGTCGTGGTTTGTCTCTCCAAAACGGTGGTATTCTTAACGATAGAGATATACCGGCGATTTCTGGTTCTTTTACCGGGTTTGATGTATATGTGTTTGCCTCCTGCTCCATAATGACGGCTTGATTACACTGATTTTATATAAACTGAAGTCTTCCTTCTCGGTGTTCGTACGGGTTTCCTTCGCGGTGTTCGTGCAATAGTAGTGGTACGTCGCAGGGTGTTCCTTCTTGATGTTCGTACCGGATCTTCCCCCTCGGTGTTCGTACGGGGTCACCACTGTAATAGTGGAGACGAACTGTCCACTATTAACAGACTCCGAGTGGTTTTCTTCAAGGTGGAGAAATGAAACTACTGTTTATGTTTATGAATGTACTGTCGAATGGGATTCGGAATGGAATCTATTTTGCATCAACCTTGCCTATATTTATATGGCTGGCTCACTATTGATTTGCCAATGGTAACAATTAATATTTTGCCTAGCCAATTATATTGCTTATTTTATGACCAATGAAAACTATTTAAAATATACAATTATCTACGTTTCGTTTCCCGGCGTGAGACTTGTTTGTTGTTCACGAAGCTACGTCGCTGGACCGGGCTATATAAGACATGCAGATCGGTGCGCACGCGTAGTCGGCGGGCGGCGGCGGTGTGGAATACAGCTCCGGAACAGCAAGAGGAAACGAACTGCGGCGTTGAAGAAACTGCTCACCATTGGTCGACGAATACGTGACGATAGCGGCGTGTGAAGTCGGTGTGGCGCTGAATGATATTTGCGGCTGCTTCTTGTTTCTTTATAAGAACGTCAAATTATCTATATACAGTCCGCAGTATCTCAGTAGCCAAGAATAATTAGGAAATAAAATGTTTTTTTTTATTTATTCTCGCCTTCCGCGTTATGGTAGCAGCGGAGTATATATTATTTATTCCCGTTTAGGTTTGATTAATCTGGCTGCTACAGCTCTTTGCTTTATAGGACAATTTAAGTTTATCTATTTCTAAACAAATATTTTTCCTAGTTCTTTGTTTAATTTTCCATGAAAATAGCATTATAAGTGGGATCGCCCGTGCTTTTTGTTAATAGTTTTCTTTTAAATTACAGCATATTTCTATATGCATGTGGAGTTGGTGAAAGGGCTTTTGGAAACCGTCCGAAATGCAATGGTTTCATATAAGCGGCACGACGACGTAGCGGTGCCAATTATTGATCCGGACAAAAGCAACTACGAAGCAGCTGCCTGGTGCGAAAGCTTCGATAAGTTAGGAGAAGAGTTTAAATGGAGCAGCTTTGAGAAGGTTGCAAAAGCCGGTAAGGCCCTTCGGGGCTCTGCATTATCCTGGTTTGAAACGTGGGAGTCTAAGACAGTTAATCATGAGAAGAATTCAAAAAAGATATTATGTCTGTTTACCCGCAAAATAAAAATTTTAGTGAGAAACTGTTAAACGTTGTGTAATATACGTCGAATTCCGTAGATTCTTTCGATGGTTATGCTAGGTAGAAATTGAGACTATTAAAATCTACTGAAATGTTTTACTGAAGGCCAATAAATAGAGCTTGTTTGAAACTCGTCGAATACTGCGCGGTCGCTATTCTTTGCGATCATCAGAACGACCGCCTTTAAAAGTCTGAATCAGAAGGTAGAGATATAACATCTCTATCTGAAGAAGTAAGAAAAGGAAGTAAGTTTCCTGAACTAGGGGGTGGGAGGTGATGAGGGAGAGGCAGGAGTTGTAGGGTCACCCCCGTACTTCCCCTTCCTGCCGTATGTGCTTATTTTTTATTTTATATATTTTTTTTTTTTGATAGAATCACGCGTCATTTTGCGGAAATTCCTTACAATAAAGACATTAATATCTTATTCGCAACCATACGTTTAATTAAGCACAATGATGTGTCTTACCTGGATTGAAAAGAAAGAGATTTCCTGGAACAGTGGTGTTGGGAGTAGTGGTGCCGGGAGTAGTGGTGCCGGGAGTAGTGGTGCCGGGAGTAGTGGTGCCGGGAGTAGTGGTGCCGGGAGTAGTGGTGCCGGGAGTAGTGGTGCCGGGAGTAGTGGTACTGGGACTAGTGGTGACGGGATTAGTGCATGCAATTGAGGGAGGACGAGAGTTGCTCTTTGATCCAGGTTAAACACATCATTGTGTTTAATGATGCACTTGGTTTCGAATTAGATATTAATGTCTTTATTATAATAAATTACCGCAAAGTAACGCCTGATTCTATCAAAAAATTTAGAAAATAAAAACTAAGCACGTCCGGCAGGGAGAAGTAGGGGGTGACTCTACAAACTCCCTTTCTCCCCACACCACCTCCCACCCTCTAGTTAAGGCAACTTAATTGTAAACCTTACCAGAGTTTTGCTCAGGGGGAAGTAATTTAAGAGAAACTACTGTGGCTAAAGAAAAACTTAGGTTGTGGCTGCGAGAATGGTTAGAACAAAATATTGAATCAGAAAATTTAATTTAAAATATTACCTGATAAAAAATGCATTTATTTGTAAAATATTTCTAGATTTAAAAAATTATTATATACATTCTAAGAGAATATCTAATATAATATTGAATCGGAAAATTTAATTCAAAATATTACGTAATAAAATATTCATTTATTTGTAAAATATTTCTAGATTTAAATTTTTTTATATATATTATATACATTCTCTTACTTATGAATATGTTCAGGAAAAAAAAGATTAAAAGAAATCTTTTTTTGCGCATATAATATCATTTATGTATCTACTTATATATAGTTTTGGTACTTATTCAATTATATATGACTTTCTATATGATCAAAGTCTGACTGAAAATGCTCATCTGACTCGACTCTCTTTATTTCTATCTTCATCTATGTATAATTGATAATATACATAGATGAAGATAGAAATCGTCACGACCACGGAGTTGTCAAATATAATTTGAAGACTCCGTGGCGCAGTGGCTTAGCAATGAGTGGCCGCGCTGGGGGTCGCGGGTTCTAATCCCGCACGGAACAAGTATTTGTATGGCCTACAAACAATTGTTCCGAAAGAAAGAATTGTTAGTTCATTACTACGTCCGGTTTCTAATGTATGTTATGTTATGTATATTGTAATAAATGTATTAAAATGGCCTGAAAATGTTTATTTGGATTTTAAAAATACATTTCATATTTTTGAATGTGTTTAAGTAAGATTTTAGTTTGGATGCTTGGCGGTCCACCACAGTACGTTTCAAAAGGAGTTTTCTTCCGCGTACAACCTCTCTGTGGAATAGTTTACCACCGGCGATTTTTCCGGACCGATACGACCTGGGGACCTTCGAGAAAAGAGCTTACTCATTTCTAAAGGGCCGGCAACGCACCTGCAATTCTCCGGGTGTTGCAGTTGATCATGAGCGGCGGTAGTCGCTTAACATCAGGTGAGTCGCATGCTCGTTGGCCCCCTATTCTATAAATTAAAAAAATAAAAAAAATGTATGGATGTGAAGGATGCGAGAGAGATGTACCAGGATCGTGACAAATGGAAGTTTGTAGTCCCTGCTTACCCCTCTGGGTGAAAGGCGTGAGTTTTTATATGTATGCATATTTCAATATGGATGTGGAGTTGGTGAAAGGGCTTTTGGAAACCAACCGAAATGCACCCCGTACTTCCCCTTCCTGCCGTATGTGCTTATTTTTTATTTTATATTTTTTGATAGAATCAGGCGTTATTTTGCGGAAATTCCTTACAATAAAGACATTAATATCTTATTCGCAACCATAAGTTTAATTAAACACAATGATGTGTCTTACCTGGATTGAAGAGAAAGAAATTTCAGGTTAAACACATCACTGTGTTTAATGAAGCACTTGGTTGCGAATTAGATATTGCGAAGCAGTTGATCATGGGCGGCGGTAGTCACTTAACATCAGGTGAGCCGCATGCTCGTTGGCCCCCCTCTTCTATAAATTAAAAAATAAAATAATAGTTTTGTTATCTTATTACTTGTATTCGTTAAACCGTTTTGGGCCACGTGTTTTCTGAAATATATTTATACTGCAGATTTAATGTTTAAAAACTGTGAAAATGGTTTTAATAATGTTTTTTATGATTTTATTTAGTATTCAATAATGTTTATAATTTGATTTAGATGTGCTGAGTGTTGTTCAGTTGTAAAACAATAAAAGCGTCATTGAGGGTAACCTTAGAAATACTCCGAATTCAAAAAAATTCGTTTGAGTACTTGGTTATTATACATTATAATTATACATTAGCAAGTTAAGTATATTTCCACTATGTCTTGCTTATTTTTTCTTATTGTCTTTTGGTTAAAGTATGTGTGAAGATATTTTCTGTAAATTTATAAACTTAAATTAGCTAAATTCCTTTCATAATTTGTTCCTTGTTTTGAGGGAGATTTTAACAGCTCTTTGCTTTATAGGACAATCTAAGTTTATCTATTTCTAAACCAATATTTTTCCTAGTTCTTTGTTTAATTTTTAATGAAAATAGCATTATGAGTGGGATCGCCCGTGCTTTTTGTTAATAGTTTTCTTTTAAATTACAGCATATTTCAATATGGATGTGGAGTTGGTGAAAGGGCTTTTGGAAACCATCCGAAATGCAATGGTTTCAAATAAGCGGCACGACGACTTGGCGGTGCCAATTATCCGGACAAAAGCAACTACGAAGCAGCTGCCTGGTGCGAAAGCTTCGATAAGTTAGGAGAAGAGTTTAAATGGAGCAGCTTTGAGAAGGTTGCAAAAGCCGGTAAGGCCCTTAGGGGCTCTGCATTATCCTGGTTTGAAACGTGGGAGTCCGAGACAGTTAATTATGAGAAGAATTCAAAAAAAATATGTCTGTTTACCCGCAAAATAAAAATTTTAGTGAGAAAATGTTAAATGTTGTGTAATATACGTCGAATTCTGCAGATTCTTTCGATGGTTATGCTAGGTAGAAATTGAGACTATTAAAATCTAATGAAATGTTTTACTGAAGGCCAATAAATAGAGCTTGTTTGAAACTCGTCGATTTCTGCGCGGTCGCTATTCTTTGCGATCATCAGAAGGACCGCCTTTAAAAGTCTGAATCAGATGGTAGCAATATAAAATCTCTATCTGAATAAGTAAGAAAAAGAAGTAAGTTGCCTGAACTAGGGGGTGGTGGGAGTTGATGTGAGAGAGAGGCAGGAGTTGTAGGGTCACCCCGTACTTCCCCTTCCTGCCGTATGTGCTTATTTTTATTTTATATTTTTTTTGACAGAATCACGCGTCATTTTGCGGAAATTCCTTACAATAAAAACATTAATATCTTATAAAACACAATGATGTGTCTTACCTGGATTGAAAAGAAAGAGATTTCCTGGAACAGTGGTGTTGGGAGTAGTGGTGCCGGGAGTAGTGGTGTTGGGGGTAGTGGTACTGGGACTAGCGGTGACGGGATTAGTGCATGCAATTGAGGGAGGTCGAGAGGTGCTCTTTAATCCAGGTTAAACACATCATTGTGTTTAATGAAGCACTTGGTTGCGAATTAGATATTGCGAAGCAGTTGATCATGGGCGGCGGTAGTCACTTAACATCAGGTGAGCCACATACTCGTTGGCCCCGTCTTCTATAAATTAAAAAAATAAAATAATAGTTGCTTTATCTTATTACTTGTATGCGTTAAATCGTTTTGGGCCACGTGTTTTCTGAAATCTATTTATACTGCAAATTTAATGTTTAAAAACTGTGAAAATGGATTTTATAATGTTTTTTTATTATTTTATTTAATATTCAATAATGTTTATAATTTGATTTAGATGTGCCGAGTGTTGTTCAGTTGTAAAAAAATAAAAGCGTCATTGAGGATAACCTAAGAAATACTCCGAATTCAAAAAAATTCGTTTGAGTACTTGGTTATTCTTCACATTAGCAAGTTAAGTATATTTCCACTATGTCTTGTTTTGGTTAAAGTATGTGTGAAGATATTTTCTGTAAATATATTAACTTAAATTAGCTAAATTCCTTTCATAATTTGCTCCTTGTTATGAGGAAGATTTTAACAGCTCTTTGCTTTATTGGACAATTTAAGTTTATCTATTTCTAAACCAATATTTTTCCTGGTTCTTTGTTTTATTTTCCATGAAAATAGCATTATAAGTGAGATCGCCCGTGCTTTTTGTTGATAGTTTTCTTTTAAATTACAGCATATTCCAATATGGATGTGGAGTTGGTGAAAGGGCTGTTGGAAGCCATCCGAAATGCAATGGTTTCAAATAAGCGGCACGACGACGTAGCGGTGCCAATTATTGATCCGGACAAAAGCAACTACGGAGCAGCTGCCTGGTGCGAAAGCTTCGATAAGTTAGGAGAAGAGTTTAAATGGAGCAGCTTTGAGAAGTTTGTAAAAGTCGGTAAGGCCCTTCGGGGCTCTGCATTATCCTGGTTTGAAACGTGGGAGTCTGAGTCAGTTAATCATGAGAAGAATTCAAAAAAGATACTATGTGTGTTTACCCGCAAAATAATTTCAAAGTTAGCCAAGTTCAGTACAAAAATGACATCGGTTCAATCAGCAAGAAGAATGAACAACCAGTGCGTGTTACCAGTGATGACATATGGGTTCGAGGCGTTGTTGAGAAAGCTCAAGGTAGTATACGGGCTATGGTGACAACATGCTCTCAGTTTCTCTGCATGTTTAACTTAATGAGCATATCCGTAGTAGAATTACAGTAAGAGACATAGCGCAACGGATCAGTATTCAAAGGTGGAAATGGGTAGCCCCGTAGCTCAAAAAACAAACACCACTGGGAAGAAAGTTTTTCAAGTGGTAATCTCGTAATAAACGAATTGTAGTATGACAACATAATAAAAAATTCAGAAAGTAGACGGATGTAGATGTATCAGGACCGTGCTTTGTGTAAAATCAAAGTAAACGGGCTTCGCTTATCGTCGACACGGTCGCGGGTATTGAGCGTGATAATGTCTAAGATGAAAGATTAGAAATAAATTTACAAAGAACCATGTTTATTTTGTTAGAAATTTTCGTTTGTAGAACATTATTTTTTGCTGAATAAGAGAGACGGTGTCCACCTAATGCTAAGTAAATGCTACACCCCATAGACATCTACTTCTACACTCGATCAAGAATCAAAATCGGTTGCGTTGTCATCCCTGTGGACTAGAGATAGAATATCTCGTTACCATTAAATATGATCGCCAGTTCTTTACACTCACGATAGGAAACATAGCAGCGTTAAGCTGCTATTTAACGTTGGTATTGAGAGCGTGACCTACCCTGGTCAAGCTGACCCATTCGTACTGCAGCCATAATTTATCACCGGCGTGACTCTACCACGTAACAATTATAATATTTTAAAATACAATTACTATATTTATAAATCCAGTATGATTGGCAATTATACGGCAGCTGCCGTATAATCGTAAATCAATTCCTTATTTTGTTAGAATTTAACAGATATAGTACATTTTTAATAGAAGAGGGTGACAAGCGAACACAGAGTTTTGTGGCATTCTTTGGAGTAACTTGTAGCCTCAATATGTTTAAGATTTAATATATGAAGGGCCTATAATGATGATAATGATTATTCCCAAAACTATTTTTAATAGATGCCCGATAATCTAATTACAAGATTATGTAGTCCAAGATACTAGTTAAAAATATGTGTGATACATACTAATATATCTACACTAAATACAACTTAAATTGAATGGCAGCTAGGATATAAAACTACTATGACTAGAGAAAATTTAGAACCCCGCGAACAATAAACTCGATTGCAACTGATTACATACTTAAGTGATCGAACATCTTGTTCAAGTAGCCCAATAAACTGAATACTTATCAGGTTCACGGTATAGCTGTCCAGTGACCTTTTCTGTGGCTTTTCTGGTTTTTGCTTATTAAATTACTTGCCCACTGTGATGAACGAGGGATTACATTTTTTTTTTGATTATTGTAACACTGATAATTATAAATCTGCGTTGTAGCGAGCAATCAGCTAATATATTTCTTATATTTGCGTGCCTATTGCGAGTTTTTTACGTGTGCGTTAACTACAATTTGTATGGAACAAGAAAGCGCTAACTAGAGAAAATAATCGGAAACATAATTCATTAATGCAAGTTTATCGATATCGACTATCGAACATTGACTCGCATTCGACAGCGAGAACGTTTACTGTTTTATTAATGTTCATTTCCATCCCCTCTTTCATTAGTGTTTCTCGTGCTCTTGATGTAATAAGTAGCATTAAACGTTTAAAATCCCATGAAAAGCGCAGAAACCTGACGAATCTCTAGGGTTACCAAAACGTTTTAAGTAGTTTATCAAAAACCCTTGGTTTAAGGTCATTATTTCTTATCCTTTTTTTAAGTTAAGGAATTAACCGCTATAAATATAGAAATATCTGTAACACTTCATTTCATATTGTATTCAAAATCAGTTTATTGGTCTCGCCGTGTAGTGAAGGCGTAAAAATATTCATATTCAGCACAATCCAGTAAGTATTATATAAGGTGACAGAGAAATGTGGTGTGGCTCACGGTATCGACTAATGTAACCTTAATATATTATAAACTTAATACAGTATTAAACAGGACTTGCATCATAAACGTGGTCTCATTTATTAACATCATTCAAGAAAAATTAACACGAAATAGGAGTATCTTCCTGATTACAACTCAAAATAATAAAAAAATTGGGATTGCAAACTCGCCTGCTAAGCATTGCTACTATGGAAGATATCCTGATATGATGGTTTACACTAGAGCCTGTTTCGATAAAGCAGTCCCGTGAAAAATATACGAACTGAAATAAAAAATATGGAATATGGCGCCGCGGTCGTCTTTTGTGAAAATAAGCTGAAGACTATGAATAAACCACGTTTTGGAATACGATGGAATGAGTTTGAAAATTTAAAATGTTAACCTACAAATCATAATACACTGATGATTTTTTGGTTAAATCAACTTGCGAGATTTATTTCAACTGTTATGAAGAGTTTGGTAATCAAAATATGTGGCATTAGCTTTAATTAATTTTAGACGTGATGTAATTAAAACCTTTTACAATATAAAAATTCATAAAAACTTAGAAAAGGTTTTCAATATCTCTTGCTTTTTTTTTCATTAATAATGTATATCAACTCCATGAAATTAAATATTTAGGTTAGTTAATGAGTTCAAAGAAAGAGAAGGTTCTATGTTCGAGGCGTATGTTGTTTTATGTATGTTCACTGATTTGTCGGAAACGGCTGAACCGATTTAAATGATTTATTTTTTAATAATTAGGTTATTTCATCAGAAGTGATACCATCTAAAATTAAAAGAAATTCAAGAAAAAATTCCATCCCTATAGGTGTAACAACACGAAATTCATGTTTTAATGTACATATTTTATATGACATGTCATAATTTCCTGAACGCTGCCCAGCCGAGTTGAATCCGTCGAGTGACCTCTCGGCCGAATTTGGACTTACCTAGTGAGAATATTTGTCTCAGGTAAACATATTCGTCAACAACTTCAAGCTTAGTGCTCCCAAACAACTACCATAGGTGTGACATGGATGTTACACATGACCTTCGTTTTGTTCATGTTCATCTTAAGACCTATCTGTTGGGAGACATTATTGAGGTTACTGAGCATAGTGCTTAGGTCCTCCAGCGATTCTGCCATGAAGACCATATCGTCGGTAAATCGAAGGTGAGTAATGTACTCGCCATTGATGTTAATACCGTATCCTTTCCAGCCCAGTAGCTAGAAAACGTCTTCCAATGCAGCGGCAAGGAAAAGACATATTGGTGTTACCAAATTAATTAATTTTTTCTTCCAAAATAATAAATAATAAAAAGTCCCTTCATAGTTCTAAATTCGTTAAGTTAGTTTATATTTGCTTCATACGTGAGGTTTATATTATAAGGAGTAATAGTAAAAAATAGAAGTTTAAAATTTGTTTCATTAGGCAACACTGAAAAGTGAAAAATTATTTAAGAAGTATGTCCGCCGAATTGTGCATGTGCTTCCTTCTTGTTATTTCGTATTTTTAAGTGTTTTATCGTAATTACTTTTGTATAGCACAAAACGTAAGGCTCAAGAACGTGCTTTAAGGTAGATTTTGTAATTGATGCAGTGACGAATATAATAAAAGACTTATAAAATAATATGTTAATTTCAACCCTATACATTTTATGATGGTTTGTATTAAGTTACTACATTATGTTCAGACAACATGGAATTTTATAACATATCACGTTTTGGTGTTATTTTATTTTTAAAATATCATATTGTTGAAAATTGTGAAATAAATATGTTTACAATACTGAGAATCTTTCTTTTTGCCTAAGTCCTTCATTTTATCGAGAGTATTTATGCCGATTTCTAAGTAACAAGTGTTTTTTGTTATTTAGAAATAGACAAAATACTTAATAAAAATAACAATATGAAAGTAGTAAGTAAGTAGTATAGAGGTATATATGTGTAATATATATATTATAACATCTATAGTTATGTAAAGTTCAAGTATCTAGTAGTTAATAAACTAGCTTCCAGGAGGCGCTGTTGTCGTGGCCAATTTTAACGTTAGAGATTCTTATCTATTTCCGTATATACCTACACTCTTATCTATGATCAGTAGTGCCCCAGTAGAAGTTCAGTAGTTTTTAAGAAAAATTCAACGTGTTGTAACGCCCGAGTGACAACACGTTGAATTTTTCTTTAAAAATGAGTTTCACCAATTCCGAGGAAGAGAAACTGATAATCTAGGTGGCCCAATATCCCGCACTGTACGTTCCCTCACTTCCTCTGCATTTAAACATAGGACGTGTGTCTTTTAGCCTTTTCTCTTTATACTTTTATAATAAAAGCAAGCCATCATCATCTTCTTCATCTTCTAATAAAAGATACAAAAATAAATCGTGATCACTAATTTCAAACACGTCAGACATCATGTCTCACTGAACACTCGAAACAGACTGGACACGGGCTGTTGCCATCTACAGTCAGGTTCGGAATCATGACTGCAGCGACATGACGCCGCGACATATCGCCTGCTGCTGCTGCCTGCAGTCGGCTACGGAATCGCACCTTTATAGCTAACACATCATGTATTTCAACCTTGGAAATATTAGGGGAAATAACCCCTAATCTTTACAAAAGTCTACTAGCCTTCTTTGCTGGACACGCAAAACGCTTCCGGCATTTATTTACTATACAACAAACTAATCGGCAACTCATTATAATACCTATGTGATATTTATTACATTTCAGTTAATATATGTTTGTTTTTTTAATTATTTATTTGTGTCAGTTTAACTTTACCATAGGATGTTTTATTTAAACGAAGTAATACTATTTTCTCCTTTTTATTATAATAAAACCACTCAAAATCAGCAAAAGGAATTTAAAATACAACAAAAAGTTGTACTTGTTTAGGTTATAATTTTTTATAATTACGGTCCCTTTAATTTTGATAAGAGAAATGCTGAGAATCGAATAACGTACTTCTACTACAAAAGGGTTAGAAAGTTTTAATTAACTGACAAACTGGCATACAAGGGCCGTCGGTACATGAAACTTCCGTCAAAATAATTCATAATTATGAAGGGGCAGATAGGGATAGGGATAGGTTACTTAGATACAAGGTGCACCAATGACGTTGATGATGATAGGTTATGGATATATAGGATGCTTGGTGGTGAAAGAAAACGCCTGAAAATACCTTTACCAGCGTAAAATTACGTAGGCATATTGAGTGTAGAGAACCGGAGAGCCTTTACAATAGTAACGTCATGGCGGCCAGTCTGAAGATGAAAGAGGTTAGAAAGCAGCGCCGGAACGGCGCGGAGAGTTGCTTGTGCTGGTGGGACCGCGGTTGTATGCAAAAGCATACCCGTGGCACTGCCTATATATGGTGAAAGAACACAATGGGTGGACGAGGACCACCAGACGAGACGGGTATGCGTAATCTTCATAAAAATATCTATTAGCGCAAGATAGGATTAACTCACTTTGTTGTTTTGCACTATAAAATCAAAGTGCAAAAATTATAATCCCTTTAACAGTAAAAATGAAATATTTAGGGATTTTACATGAGTTCTCTTTTTTATCTTAATGCTCAGGACTGAACAACGACAACGTTGGCACAACAACGAGTCTGTCTAGCCAACGAGTAATAAATATTAAATATTCTTTTGATTATTAAATAATCTTTTTATTTATTACAGCCTTTCACAAATCCACTACTGAAATTATCCATCTAATGAGAGGCTGTCCTACACATAGCTAGGTACGAGGTTGCCGCTCAATAAATTTCTTCCCCAACGGTTAAAATTAAGCGTGTAGTGGAGGTACGAGAATATCCACTACCCCATATCGTACCTTGATTGTCGTAAGAAGCGATAAAGATAGAGGTAAACAAACCAAAGGATAATCTTTTTTATAATAACTAAACAATAAAAAAACGTATTTGTCAACTTGCCTGCCAGTGTGGTAGCTATGGCAATATAATCTTAAATTAGTTTTATTTATAGCCAGTGTTGTTTTAGGCTTTGTGCCAAACCTCTCTCAAATCTTAAACATCAGACTGAAATCAACTATCAAAATTTTCCTAGAGCGTTACCTAAATTAAAAAAGTAAATATAATTAATAAGTAATTATGTGAGTATGTGGGGGGGGGGGATTCTTTAAAGATTAACGTCAAATGAACGTATATATTAATAAATGTGATTGTAATTTTTTTAAGACAAATTTACAACCTATAGATTCACATTGCTGGGCACAGGGCACCTTGCATTTCTGAAAGAGTTTTAGGGCAAGGAAATGTTTACCGCGCTGCCCCAATGTATGTTGGCGGATTTCAAATGTCTTCAACAAACTGCTCAAATAATTACGTTTTACATAGTATTAATAAATTTAAATAATAACTTTAATTTATAAAATATTTAATTACTTAGTAATAGTTAAGTTTAAAGACATAGAATATCGCACTATTTAATATTAACTGTATTGAGTCTATTCTTTGCTACTTATAAAATATAAACCCTCTTTATAAGATTGCAGAATTTTACATGAATTTAACTTTTTAAAGCGCTAGTCGACTGGAGTTGAGATAATTACGTCCTCGAACATACATCGAGTAGGCTGAATAATGCATGTGCTGCGTTTGGACTTTTTCAGCTGCAGTTAAATAATTTGCTACTGCTTATGTGTGTGCAGCAGAGCAATAAAAGACGGAGACAAAAAGAGGGTTGTATTTCTGGCAGATATTAGAGTCCCATTGCTGAGCACAGGCCACCTTGCGTTTCTGAAAAAGTTTTAGGGCAAATAATACCTTACAGGTTTTATTATGTAACATCATGTTAATATTTAAGAATATTATTTATTTTTCTAGCCTTTTAAATTTTGCACAAAAAAACGAGAACGAAACTCAACAGCATTATTATTTATTAGGAAACCAGCCCTTCCCCGACAGAGTTGAATAATGCATGGATCGTGGGTCTACTTGGCACGTGGGCTGGTGACTGAAGTTCTTAATATTTTGACTTGTTACTTACCTCGTATCATATCGTGGTTGCCATAAGATGCAACAACCAGGAGACGGAAAGCAGCGTTTTCTTAATAATATCTCTAGAAAATAAAAATAAAACTGCGGTTACCAATGCCTCTGCCATGCGTGACAACTACTAGTATCGTAAGTAATCAACAAAGCAATATGAGGAGGCCCTAGTTCATCAATGAAATTTGATAAGATATAATGATGGTGAGGACGGTTAGTGTGTATGTGGGGTATGTTGTTTAAGTTATAAAATGAGCGAAGCTATTTTGCTTAAATTTCGTCAAGTGTTATAATTAACCAATTATTTAGAATAATACCTTTTACTCCTGTTTTTTGCTTTAACATTCATTTTTTGCTAATTGAAATAATAAAGTAAATTTTAATTTAAAATTAGGCTTCTAAGTAGCTTTATAAGGCAGCTCTACAAGAGTTATAATTGACTAATGATTTAGAAAGAGACCACTTTCACCGGTTTCTTGTTATAGGATTCTAATAAAAAAATTCTAATAAAAATGTACCGCTGAAGAATAACGAGATATATGTATATAAACGAGCGCTTATTTAACGGCCGAGTTCATAAAATTTGCTGAAAATAACACAACTGCAGTGCAATTTTCATAAACTCTTGAAAAAATACCTGATATAACTGTTGATGAAAATAAAAGTAAAATAGAAAGTGAACTTATAGGCTGCTTACGTAGGACCTCTTATTTCTGAAAGAATTGTGGAGCGAGGAAGACTCTGCTGCGCTACCTTAGTGGGAATTGACAAATTTCACTTTAATTTCATTGGTGGCAGTAAGAAACTAGACTTTCGAGTAGGTTTAAAAATTAGCTCTAACTCACTGATCTCCGTACAAATAATAAAATAGATATCAAAAATACAGCTCATGATACAAATAATAAAATATTTTTTTTGCTTATGGTACTCGTTTTTTTACGTGGTATTATTTTATATGTGGTAGCGCCATGCTGCAGCTATAATATGGTAGTAGGAAAGAACGACTCTCTCACAAAATAGCAGCTCTTTGCGGTTTTGTTTTGTGTAATGTGTGTAGAGAACCGGTGAACCTTTTACTGGGAACGATTCCATTTTAGTTCTCGGGGGTGACAACGTATCTGCATTTTTATTCTTTTATTCTATTCGAGATTAGAATAGATGTATAGTATAATAGAATAGAATATATGTATAATATAATATATAGAATAGATGTAGATGTCTATGAGCCACATTATCCACATATACCATCAGGTGGACTGTGTGCTTGTCTGAAATAACAAAATAACTCTACGCGAATATTTCACTTGCTAAATTGTAAAGACTGGAGATTTACTAATAAATAACACACAAAAAAACCTTTAGTACAAACATTAGGTAAAAGTTTGGCCACCATAATGAAGGTAATTCACGCTCTGAGACAGTGATCACGTTGAAAAAGTTGAAAGTACTAAACTTTCAGTCTTGAAACCGTCGGCAAATAGTTCCAAGCGAACTACGAACGTTTCTACTACCATAGTCATAAAAGTTTATGTTAGTCGCCTGTAATAATTAAGTTTGTCGTACTATGGTTTTAATTGAATTAAATTACTTTATTCAATGTGTCTTCTTTCTTCTTTAATTTAATGTGTGCTTCAACAAAATTATATTTCACTTTTCTAATCTGTTAATTTTGATAATATAATGATACATTCGTTCTGATCGCCTTATGTGATGATAAAATTATTCATTGTTAAAGTTATACTCAATCAATAAACTATTTTTCTACAGGCCTCATTAAAACATAAGTATCAAGGTCTTCAACTAGAAAAAAATTCATTCAATATAGATTAAAACATATCTGTAACACTTAACTGATAATTACTTAGACGATATGAGGTTTCTATAAATCAAAACGGTCAGCGGTGTTTACACACTCTGCTTACCTTCATTTGAACTCAAACAAACTTTATCCTTTCAAATTGCTGTGTTTATTTATTGTTGCATTCAAATGTAGTGAAATTAATTTCTGACGTTTGATTGACTTTCATTTCTGAAAGTGTTATGAAATATATTCGACCGCCGCGTTGTTCTGATTTATATTAGGATTTACCCAAAAATAAAAGCCCTAGAAATATTTAACTTTTTAGAAGAAAAAATAAACAATATACCAATAAAACCTCTACAATGTAGAGGTTTTATTGGTATATTTTTATTGCGTTTGAGCATGTGGTAAATTCGCAATTGTGATTTTAATTAACAGTCTCAGTGGTAACCGATGAGTTTCTAACTCAGTTTGCTAAAGGATTCAAATATGAAACTTATGGCGAGCGCTCAGCCACCACGGCTCTAAAATTACTACACTAAAGTAATTATCGCTATGCTATAATTGAAAACTGAACATGTTTGAAGTAAAAACAAATAACAAACATGAGAAATTAAATTTAGTACATGTGAATTCAACAATTATTTAACAAAGCATTTTGAAGGGAGCTTGCTTGAATTTTAATGAAGGTAAGCTGAGTGTGTCAACACCGCTGAATGTTTTAATTTTTAGAATTTATGAGTAAACAGGAACCCGAGAAGTTGAACTAAATAATGAAGTTTAATAAGCCCACCTTTATGACAAGTATACATATATAGGATAACGGGCGTGTAGTGACCCATACCTATTTTCAGCGCAAAGCTAATTACTCGCCTTCTGTTCACGTTTTAAAGGTAATAAGTCCAGTACAATGACATGATAATAAAATTATCCATCATACCAAACATCAATCAATACCAAAGTAACGCATATGTAATCTTCATTGTCTTGAGTTTTCTGCATGTTTCTGTGCGCTGCAATATTCTCTCAGTCGACTACGAACTTATTCAGCGTTTATTAATATATTAGTAATTCCTAAAGTATTTTCAAAGTGGATTTAGATAAATGTAAGCGTTGAATAAGCAATTTACTTAGTGCTAAGTAAACAAAACACAAAAATGTAATAAAAACAAGTTTACCTACTGGTACTCAGTTCTAGGTCCTGACGTATGTTTTGTTAATATCCTCTTATCTCTGACAATAGAGACCAAACCTACTGCTGCTGTTATCGTACAAGTGCAACATTGTTACTACTCCGCCTTTTCCTGATGTATTTCCGAGATATTGGTTTTTAATTGACATATTGTACTGAAGTAGACCTTTATAAATAATTTATATCATATGTCATTCCCTTTGTACATGTGTATATACAAATACTGTTGGTGCGGCCAGAGACAGTACCTTTCGAATCCGGGTTAAAAAACCAGAAAATGGTGCGCTAATGGTTCCTGGGTTCGATTCCCAAGTCGGGCCTAAATTAATAGTGCGAGATCAATTTTCTTGTGGACTGTACGCGTGGTTCCCTATAACCAAACAAACAAGAACAAGAACGTGGCAGGCTTGGGCAATGCCGTGTCCTCTTATCACTTCGGGCCTCAGAAAATCCTATATTATGCCAGCGCTGCTTGTCTATATCTCTTCTTCCAGCTCCCAGATCTTCTAGTCTGTCCTCATTGTGCGTGCATCATATGTTGCCAGGTCAAATCATCTCAGGTGGCAGCTGAACCTCCACCGGAAATTCTTAGCACCCCCTGCTCGGCCGTTATCATGGTCGCCAACGTAGCCAGGAATAGCGGAGCCGCCGGTGACTGGATGCTGTTTATTTGTGTCGTTGCCCATGTGGGGTATATTGACATAGTTGCTACCTGCCTCAGTTTCCCTCTGTCGCCTCTCACAACACCCACGGGAAGATATGGGGTAGTGGGTATTCTTACCCGCCACTACATGATAGATATTTAAATACAGTATGTAGATAATTATTTCCTAATAAATACAGATATTTTAAATAACCATTGGACATATCATTATTGTCTTGATTAGCGAAAAACGTGTGTGATCTGGAAACATTTCACAAAATCATATCTTAAGAAGGATTTAATATCTTATTGTACATATTCACCTCGCATTCGTCACATTTTAGTACTCATTTCATTAAAATTCAAACGTGTTATTGCACTTTTCATTTCTTATTTCTCACTAGGATATATAGAATTACGATTGAAACAAAAAATTGCTATTTGTAAATATTTATACATGAAAATTCGGTGCATGTGTGTTAGTAATTCTTTTTCGATTCGAGGATTTCAGGACAGTGTTTAGTGGCAACGCGTCGGGCTGTAACGATATTGATGACAGGTTATATTATTGTGCTGCAAGCTTACGCGTACACTAAACTGTTTATACCATATTTACCCTGGTCTTCACATAAAATAAACTCAAACAGAAGAGTACTAATATAAACAGTTATACAACGTAGCACTATTCTTTTCATTCCCTTATCAAAACTTGGTTTTCTTTTTCGGGGGGTTATTACGATGAAAAATCTCCGTGTTTCGCTGTGTTTGTGTTGTCTGTAAAGAATTTCGAATTCTATCTTCATTTTCCTTCCTTAAAGAAGAGATCTTTTTCTCCAAATTCATAACGGACTACCTCCGAAAGAGAACATATTTAATAAAAAGAATCATCTAAATCGGTTCCCAGTTGACGAATATAACGTGTAAACATACAAAAAAAGTACGGTCAAATTGAAATCCTCCTCTTTATTTTGGCTAAACATTAGCTCTTGATTCTGATAGCATATTTTGAAATTTTATGACGTTATTTTGGTCCTCCCAATCCACGTACAATATTTTATGTCAAATACGAACGCTCACTCCGTTTCGCTGCCAAAAACAACATCGTTATGAATGGTGTTGTCAATATTGAGCGATAGCGCTTTTACGAAACTGGGCAATCTAAGATAAATACGAGGTGAATATGTCATGTAGGTTTTAACATTTTATTGCTTAAAAATTAAATGAATTTTTTTTACTGTTAAAAGGAACTATAGGTAATGTCAAGTTTTTTTTTTAATTTCCTCAATGCTG